GATTCAATCTTGGATTGAAATATAGAATAGATCTATATTTTGTGTGATAATATTTTTTTAATATAATATAGCAACATTTTCATATGCTTTGACTTGTCATGGCAAATCAAATTTGTAGCTCGCTTAAGATTATTATACTTATTATAAAACAATAATATTGGATCTAGTTTTTTTTTCTTAAATCTTGATGGATAGTATATTTAACTAAATAGCTTTCATGATGTATTTTTCAAGGGCTCTACTTTGCTTCAATTAATGATATGTCCACCATATATAATTTTTTTTAATGCCTAAGAAATGAAAACTCCTACAAATTTGAATATCCATCCTATAATTGATGTGCAGTCTACCTTACAATTTGTCCAATTTGAGTCTATAAATTCCATCACTATAAGGTTGTGATTAATTTTATAGAAGATACTAAGCTCAATTGAACCTTTAATGTAATAAAAAGTTTGATCTGCTACCTACAAGAGCAAAGTGCAAGGGATATGTATGAACTTGTTTGACGCACTTATTACAAATAATATTTCTAATTTTCTATTATTTAGATAGATTCATATATCCACAAGCTTTCAAAATTATTTAGTATTAATTAATAGCAAGTCTTCTTCTTTGTGAAGCTAAAGTCTTTCAACTATTGATATTGAAGATAGAATTTATTATTTTATTTCAAATTCTTTTAAAATCTTAAATATATAGGCTCTTTATAATTGAAATATTTTTTGGGATTATCAAATAAATTCTATGTCCAAATAAAAATTGAACTTGTCTAAGTCTATTATCTCAAATTATTGCATGAGTTCACTTTGATTATAGAATTTTTAAAATATTATTAATTAGAATAGAGATTTTGTTAGTGATCTATTGATGAGAAATGCAATAGTGTTGATAACTACAATCCAAAGAAATATTGGGATGTTGGCTTGAACTACCATGTTATATCTTACATTGATCAACTTATAACTTTTTAATTCTACAGTACCATTTTGTTCTACAATTCTTGTATTTGTGAGTTATCTTCTTATCTGTATAGCTTTGGAAAATTTTGTAAATTTTTTGCAGAGAAACTTGTCTCTATAGTTACTTTAAATACATTGTATTATGTCTTTGAAGTGTGACTCAATCAAGTTTTCGAATACAATGCATTTTTTAAATGCTTGAAATTTAAAGCATAGGAAGTTCACTCTCATATATATATTGTAGTCATTCATAATGTCAAACATGTAATTTAAGCCTTTAAGAAAAATCTCCAAAAATAAACTATAAAGATCTAAATATTATAACTTTAGTATCTTTATTGCTTGTAATTTTTTTTTGGAAAAATCCAAAAAATAATCTTTTTGGCAACCTCTACATATTTTAGAATACACTAAAATGTAAGATAGGCCTATCACCATTTCTTTAGCTACAAGCTTGTAGGGACATAGATAGCTGATATATTCAAAGCAATAATGTCAAAGTCTTATAGTGTACAAGTCAGTCTTGACTCTATTCACTACAATATCTATGAATGAATCTATCAATAAGTTTTTTTTTTTTTTTTTTTTTTTTTTTTCAAACTAAAAATGTAGTAAACATTGAGGATTCTTTTCATTTTACCAAATAGAAGTTTAAAATAAATAGTACCTCTACTAGTAATAGGACGATTTTGGCCAACTATTGTTTTAACATTGCTGCTTAAATTCTTTAGGCTATCAAAATGCTAAAGGTCATTACTCATATGTTGAGTTGTTCCGCTATGTAAATACTAATCTAAATTAGAGCCATGAATGTCTAGTATGGAGATTGCAACTTTGAATACTTGGTCATTTCTTTCATATGTTGCATAGGTGGCATCAGCTATATAATTTTGAGACTTTAGTTGCATTTGTTTCTCTTGCACAAGGTTGAAAAATTGGAATTCAATGCCAAGCTTAGCCATATGATCAAACTCCACCTTTTTGATGTCCACCAATCTCTTTAGGTACATGTGTACAACATATCTAAACTTTCTAAAGTAATAACATTACGTGAGTTAGTTTTGAGATGTACTTCTTCTAGATCTATAAGATGTATAAAATATCAAAAAGTTGGATGGTGAGTTTGTAAAACCTCTAATATAGCAGTTGTGATGTAAGTAGATCCAATTGTTGTGAAATTAGAAGGCTTTGGTAGTGGTGGTCTTGATCCCTAACTGTGTTTGGCATTGGCTTTTTTCAAGCATTAATTGTGACTGAAGCTGATTTAATGTTAGATACCCTCTGTTGCTAATATAGTGGCTCAAAAAATAATCATATGAGTCAGGAAGAGCTTTTACAACTACTTGCATAAGATCTGAATTATCAAAGGATATTCCAATGGTGGATAGTTAGGCTAGTATTTGTTTGAATTGGGAGAAGTAATTTTTTATCCCCAATCAGTCTGAAATTGGTATCAAATCTAACATGTTCTTGAGGTCAAACTTCCTACTATCATTGGCATTCTCAAATGACCAATGTAGAAAATCCTACAACCCCTTTAGTTCCTAATAGTCAGTGAGTACAACAAGAAGGTTGGGTTTGATAGATATTTTCAGTGTGTACATTAGGCGTTCTAGCCTATCATCACTGGACTCCTCAACATCCAAATCTTTTGAGTTTGATCTCTTGCCTTTCTTCGAAGTGCTCACAGTAGAGAGTGACAAAACGTCCCAGAGTTCGTCTTGCTTAGCAATCCTTGTGATCATGTACTACTATAGATGGAAGTTTGATGATCCTGCTTGACTTCTTTGGGAACTAAACTGTCTTTTGGCATAATGAGGATGGTAATTCAGAGAAATAGCGAGTTTCTATGAAGAACCTACGCCAACTTTGATACCATGTCAGAATGTAGATATTAACAGAATACAGACATACACATAATGTGGAAGGACACAAATACAGAAATCCAATACAATGCTTTCAAGCCCCAAAGGGCGATACATATACCAGCCTGAAGGCTGGTTTGGTACCCGGAGATGAGACCCGGATACATGAGTTGATACCCTGTCAAGGGGTTACACAATCAGGGTATCTGTAACACTGCATGCATGGATCAGTGGCTTGTAGTCCACCGCCGACACCAGTGTGATCGGTGAGGTTTGACAGAGTCACGAGGCGCTGCATGAGTCGCAGAGGCCGAGGAGGAAATAGACGCAGGCCCCATCTAAGAAAACCACCAATTTCAAACTCTATTGATGGCTAGAAAGAACTGCCGACGAATGCCTCGTCACCGACATGAGGGTGCAAATCTGGAGGGCAAATGTGGTTGCGTGATGGGAGATCCGTTTGTCCACAAATAAAAGCTAAGAGCTATTATTAGGGGTCGTGGGAGAATGTCACCAAAATTCTGTAAATATTGTGCGTCGAACCTGATGTGCATAAATTTTGTCACGTCCCGGTTTCAGTAGGAAAAGCTGGAGTGGGGGAGCGTTGCGGTCGTCGCTGCAGTTGAACGTGTATGAATGTGGGGGAGTATGGCCTCCCTTCCACCCGAACTACAAGCCCGTGTAGCATGGCGGATGTCTGTAATTGACCTGAAGGATGCCGAAATGTATTGGTCACAAAATGGCGAACCTGGTCGTGAGTTCTGCCGACCCATTAGTGACGTCGCAAAATAGAAGTGAGTTGAGCTTATGGCATTTGGTTTTCTTCAAGGCTTGGCTTAGGCAATTGAGAGAGCTGAGAAGCTTGCCTGGATACAATTATGGGAGAAAAAGGTTGCAGAAAGGCAGCTATGGCTACTATCTCTGCAAGGTCGACTACTGCAGTTTCGGCGTGATGAACTCGTTCAGATTTCCTTGACCTCGTGCCTAATGTACTTGACCCGAGGCGGCGAGAGTTCACAAATTGGTCGGAATTACGTTACCATAGGTAGATCTTATTTCTGCTAAGGCTCAAAGCGTGATGTTCAATATGGCAGAGGAAAAGTAGGACCAGCAGCAGCAGCAAGAAACTTGTCGCATCAGGTGCAGCTTCGAACTGTTCGGTAACGAACAGGAAACTGTCCATCTCAGTTACAAACTGCTTGTGTCAGAATTGACAACACTGGATGCTGATCTGTTCAAGAGCTTAGAAAATTGACTACAGCAGATTAGTCACTTCAATCGATTTAGGAGATCTCCTACCCATCGCCTCTGTCAAGAGGTCGAGCTGCAATCCCAGGGCGGATTTCAGGTGAGCCATTCGAAAAGAAACGCCAGATATTTGTTCACTCGGAAGATCAGAATAGAACCATTCTGACCTACTTCAGTGGATTGTGGTGATCCTGAGGAACAGCAGGCAGAAGACAAAAAAAAAACATAGATGAGGTGGCATTTATTCCAGCTGAAGTGACATTGAAAGATGCAGCTAACCATTTTTCAGCTCTGTCGTAAACAAGCTTGTGGTCCATGATCTGGAGTGACTTAAGTACTGGGCTTCACTCACAGAAAGAGTCACGACATACGTAAAGTGTATCGTCAGAGACGTGTCCAACTAGTCGCAGCCTCTTTAAGCAGTAATGGCCGTATACAAGTCTAGCACAGATCACTCTTTTATTACATGCACATATTTCTCTTGTAATTACAGATTATGTACTTAGACAACTGCTTATAATAATTACTGGATTTCATACTGCATTGTGCGTCCACTACTGCAACATTGCTTCTCTAACAACCCCCATTGTATCATTGTCTCAACGTTCTGATCTCTTGGGGTTCACTACGAGCAATTCCTCAAACCATTTTGACTCAGAAATTTGAGGAAACCGTGTATGCGAATTCGTAGAATATTACGAAGATACCACATCTGATTCACGTGGATAAATGATAGTACAGGTACATCGATGCAAAGCATAGCTGATTGTATGTCATTGAGTATAATTGGCGCGGAATCGGAAATGCTGGATCTAAATGCCACTCTAAAAAGCATGGCAAAATAAGGGTGATTTGGGCCATTCATTACCTTTGACATAACAACCTACACAGTGTTGAGACGCGTAACATTTTGAAACCCAAGGGATTGAACTTCAGGATTAAAATTTCAGTCGAATTTCCATTTCTTGAGCACTGTACAGCTTCATAAGAAAATAGATTGTAGTCAACTTTCGACCCACTTGGCCGGAGAGCAAGTGAAAACCACTAGTTAACAATGTAATGAACAATTTGAAAACCTTTCGAGTCTAAAAATGCTTATGAATTTATCTCACTAATAAAACCAGTTTCGTATGCTCACAAATCAAAATTAGAACATTGTGTCTTCATCAACTGAAAATGATCGCTTGTGTCGAGATCGCTTGTGTTGAGCACCCCATTTAATTGGAAAATTGTTGTTGGATTTTCGGTTACTGATAAGTCTTTCCCCAATAACACCACGACAGTTGGGAGCTCCGCAGCGGCACTTGACGTTAGGCCCAAACTCCACATATCTACACGATCCCCCAACAGAGCGCTTGTAAGAAACAAGAAAACTCCAAAACTCTAAAAATGACTTGTGAGAGATTTTGTTGGCATCCTCTATTTGAATCAACACTTCGCTGGCTGCTATTTCTCATTTTCATTAAAAGCTAAAAGTCGAAAGAATGCAAAATAGGAGCCGGCGTCACAGATCATTTCACAAAAACGGCACAAAATGCGACATGCAATAAGGCTAAAATAGAATCTCCTGCCATTCATTCACCAAACTGCTACAGAAAAACCCAAATAACCAAACGACAGAACCAAAAATAAGTCTTAACATATATACGATCTTTCATATTTTGTCAACCGTCTCTGTATCAACACAGCCTACTTTTGTAACAAAAACTGTTAAGGGAGGATCAGAAGAAACTACTTGTAATCATAAGTGAGCTCTTCGCCAGCGATAATGTTTCTCCCAGCAAAAACACCCACTCTCGTTTCACCGTCCACACGCCTGCGCATAGCGAGTTAAATGTTAGTTATTCATATTCATGCTAATGGCTAAGAGGCATCCGAACTGATCAAACTCAAGCCAACACATGAAACAACCGAACCAAGGACAATGAGCTCAGACCATTTCTCAAGCCTGCAGTTGGGTTGACAGCTGTGGTTGAGGTAGCGAGAAGCATTGCCCTTCCTAGTAGCATCAATGATGAAATCTTTAGCAATCTCACACATATAGAAATTGCAAATGCTTCGTCGCCCCTTCATCTCCCACAGTCGCTTTTCACACATTGCATCGTCAATAACTGCCACATACACATGATCTCCACATGTAATGTCAAAAGTAAATATAACCACTGCTCAAGGCAAACAAAAAGACTTCGGCAATCATGGCGTTGATAAAAACAAGCCCGCAACTTTTACACTCAACACCAGCATAATTAGGTGAGTGGAACATCATGGTATGCCGCGGAGGTGTTTAATCAGACATGAGCCAATCGCTGCAGAGCTTCTACGTTAAATCTCACATAATAAGAATTTGGTGTTACCTTCTCCAGTGTACTCGATGACAAATTCATCTTTTTTGATAGCCACGCTCGTAAAAGCACCCCAACCACAGTGCGCTGTCTGGAGAAAAATTCAGAAGACCCACAATGAGAGGACATGATGTGAACTGTAGGATAAAGATGACCAACACAGAGTGTTATTTACTATCACTAAAAACATGACAGATCCTACGCGGCACTTTCCCTGCGTTCATCAAATCCTTAGGAATCACGTACATACATTCAGGGTCAAAAGGATTTTGCGACCTCTCCGGACCAAACGTGGAAAAAAGAACGCATTACATTGTCAGAGCCACGTTCCTAGGAGAACTTCAGTCTACAATATTCGTCCCCAGATATTCATGAGACTATTTATGATGTTCTAGGACTCATTGTAATAATCACTTCCTATCTAGCAGAGGCGGAAAAGATGAACATATTCCGAAAAATGCACCTTGGAAACTTTGAGACGTTTGTCTTTGCGAAACGGTTTGTTGCAGCATTTATCTGAGCATTTACAGTCTTTAGAGCAACTCATACTCTGCACCCTACACTCCACAATGCCACTAAATTCTTAGCGACTCTTACATTTCCCACAATTGCTGAGAGTTTAATTGCCAACATTCTACATCATCTATAAAAACAAATTCACATTTCCCACATTTCTAAGGTTGAAAAAGTTTTCATAGATGACGTAGAATGCGAAGAAACAACCTATTCGTCAGACAACTGAAAATACACGAAATAATAGTAGTAGTAGTAGTAGTAGTAGTAGTAGTAGTAATAATAATAATAATAATAATAATAATAATAATCATAATCATAATAATAATGAAGAACAAACCTGCATTCACAATCGTCTCCACACACATCCTGTGCTGATTGACAAGAGCAGCCAACACCATCATCCGCATCATCACGCTTCTTCTTTATTAAAAAGACATCTTCAACGTGGTTAGGAAGCCAAAACAACAAAACTGAAGTACAAGTAAACCACGCAATGTGCAAAAAACAAAGCCAGGTCTTCAATGCGTAGACCACCGAAAACAAATAAACACGACAGAGTACAAGAGTAGGTAAAACCCAGAACACAAAAATAAGTAATGTGGCAATTAAAGTGATACACAAATACTACACAGACTATCTCCAGGTATTAGGTCTAAGAAAAGGTCGTCAACAGTTCAGAGACCTAATACCTGGAGGTTGCAAACAAGCATACAAGCAGGCCTCATCCCGAGCATTATTACTTCGCATCGGATTGACAATGATAAGATATAAGGGAGTCCCATCACATTAACATAAGCACTGCCTCGGCTAATCGACTTCTAAGCAGGAATACCAAGTACACAAGGATACTGCGCCTGATGAAGAAGTAAGGGGGTGGTTCTCTGTCGTTCTCCATCACCTCTTTTATAAACTCAGGTGCCAGGCTGAATTCCTGTTGAACCTCTGGTACTGGTAAGTGACGAAAAATATCCTGCGGAAGACGATAGAGTCAATTATCTGGTGGCTCCTTATCTTTTTAAATAACATACATTCACAGCAAACCAAACATAGAAGAGAAAAATTGGGAACAAGTATCCTAATTACCCTCCGAGCCATTAGTTAAAGCAGTGACCACCTACATACTGCGGAATATGTTAGGACTTACTAGTTCCTTCAAGCTTTAGCTAATAGAAGTTCCTGGCTCTGGGCCCTTCAAAATCCAACAAAAAGTATAACATACTGCATAAGCTAAAGGACGCTCGCGTAAGCTTTATAACTAATTCATAAGTTAAATGATTACAAACAATTATGCTAAGGTCGCAAACTTGTTCACTTCAACTTCGCCACAAGAGATGCAGAGTAGGTCGATAGCTGTTGAGTGCTAATGGAAGCTAACCTGACAATCCCATGTAGGCGTCTTCAGCTGCAGAATATGAGAGAGATGCACCCACCACTCTGTGTCAGCACCCCAGCCCATGTGCGGGTCAAAACCGTCCCACTCAACTCACTCTAATGGTATTAATTTTTTTGAATAGTAGAACTTATAGCCTCTCATTCTACTTCCAAAACCCAGTTACAGGTTAACTGTATTCTTTAATGCAAAGTGCCTAATTGTGACTATAGAATCGAATGTACGGAGCATAAGTCTAAAATATTCAACCCATATGCATTATTAGAGAGAAAATACGGAGATCATGATGGATTGCATCTCTCCCGAGAAACCATAGCTAGCATACACGAGCATTGCTGGAAAGCCCATTGGACTTAGGAAGATTCAGAATATTCTTCGCAAATAAGTCTCCAAGAAGCCAGCGTTCTAATAGTGCAATCATCGATACAAGTAGATACAAAAAGCGCAAGCTAGCAAACCTTATTATCTATATCCGAGCCATGTCGCCAACATATGGCCCAGCCTGGCTTGTTGTGGAAGAGAGTTGTGACCTCCGGACATGGGATACAACTTTCATGAGTAGCAAGTGAGCAATATTGGCAGCGCCATAACTTAGCTCCACGACTTTTACCACATGCATAACATACCTGTACGTCAAGCACAAGTGTTCATGACATGTCAGACCAAATGATAAATTTACAAAACTCCATTTGCATACATCAAATGATAAGTAAATATGATGAACTGCTCCACGGAGTTTATCAGAAAAAGTGGAAGAGGCGAACACAAAATCTCATCTATCTTTTCTTAATATTTAAATACAAACTGCAGAACTTGTACGAGACCCTCCGCAAGAGTGTCCTCCACAGCCTCACAAATTGGTACACCAGAGTCCTGTGCTGAATGGATCGTCCACTCGACGTCTGCTGAGAACATCTTGGAAGAAAGAACTTCTACTTTCCAATGACTTGAATGAACTTGGATAAGTTCCAATCTTGGATTGCTAGGTAAAAATATTCATACTAAATAAATCAAATACTGACAATGGCAGCCAACGAAAACCCTTCAAAATCGCTTACATGTTGAGGACAGACTAGTTTGCCTTCGCAGCTCCATGAGACATCAGAAAGATCAACTGTGCAGCTGAAGTGGTAGACACGGTCACAATCATTACGTGAGCAAACCACCTTTTCCGCTGAATTAAGGGAGCCTTTGCACTCGAAGCACACTTCCTGTTCATAATATAGCACAATTTTCCACTTTTCACAAAATTTGAATACAAAAGACAGTCGTATCACGTTTGAGACCAGGACCAATGACTAAATTTACTGATCATACACAAAAAGCTGAGAGCTCCAAGATAAATTTTCTTAACTAAGTAAGCAAGAACCAAGAGTGAAAAGGATAATTCACATAGTCAACGATCAATTCTAAGATGAATATCCAAAAACACAGAAGACATATTCCAAAATCACGCAGAGAGAGTGAGCTGAAACGAACGAACCATGTAGTTAGAGGGGAACAATGGAGACGCAAGACCACCGTCTGGCTTGGTTCCCCATCTCACTTTCATCAGTGTATTTTCCTCGCACCACTTCCTCTTCCCTTTTCTTTGTCCTCCTATTTCCTTGTGTGCATTGTAATCTTGTGAGTACAGAGAACTACATGCCACTTTTGCGTCCTTTACAGACACCATACTCGTACAGAGCTTTTTCGAATTCACACGGACAATCCCGTCACTTGACAGGGGATCTTTCCAGACCGTTAAAGTTTGTTTCTGTGCGGCGATTTGCGACGTGATAATCAGGGGAAGCGATTCATAATCCACAATGGCAGGTTTTGATTTGCATGCCCTTGCTAGTGGTTTTAAATATTCGTTAGTAGAGCTAGCTTGAAGTTCGTCTAACCCTACATCCTCACTTTGACTTGTGCTCAAGTTACCAGCAGTTTCTTCATCGGCACTCGCCAGAGCACAATTATCAGAATTGAATCCGAGGGGATCAGAATCTTCAGATGACGCCTGTTCATAGAACACACGGACCACATGCTTATCTGGTTCGACATGACACGCAGTAGTATTGGGCATCAAGTGCAGGTCCATTCTCTCTTCAATCTGTACATTGACTACTGCACTTGCAAGGTCTCTAGAATCCTGTTCGAGAAGTCGCGCTTTTTGTCCAAATGAAGCAGCCACTCTTCGTAATTCTTCTAGAAAAGAGATACGCTGAGCTTTTGAAAATTGGATAGGACTTCCTCCCCCAGCCTCAATTGAGTTCCAAACCACTCCGTTCGTATCCAACTTTTTCCCCGGACATAAATTCTCTCCTATTGATGATCCAATCAGCGAACCTACTTCTTCTCCTACTTTGTTACTCAATGTATCGGGTCCCAGAATATGACAACTATAATCATGCAACTCTCGAGATGTCACGCAAATCTCTCTCGCATCCACCAGGTTGATTGCAGTGGTACTCAAGCAGTTTGCGGGTGCAGTTCCAACAGGCGCTTGATTGTGACTTTGCTTCTGTAGCTCCTCAGACTCGACAGGACTGGCGCTTCTCTCTAAAAGTCCAAAGCTGAGAGTGGGACTCAAAAAGGAGGACGAATTATTGGTGCTATTTGTACTTCCGTCGGAGCACATTGTTGTTAGAATATTTTCAGAGCCCACACTGCTATGCTGAACAAACGACTCTTGGCGATCGCCACAACCTTGAAAGGAAGATTTGTCCAACTGCAAAGTGTAAACCATAATAACTTTCAATTCTTACTTAACATCGAAAAAAACTCAGCTAAGTACTCAAGAGCATCCATCTTGTTAGATACACAATAAACAAAAGATTACAATGCGGGGATCAACCAAATCATCGAATCTAGCTCTCGGGAGCAAGGCTCACAAATGAATGGCAGCTGTTCACTTAAAAACTGGCTTTACTAAAAAAAAAACGCTCGTCTTTTGACATAAGAGCATTTTGTTAAACATCGTTACGATAGAAGAAATACAGGAGAAGCGAATTAAAGAATACGAGGAAATTCACCTTGGTGAAAGACATATGTTTGAACCGTTTCTCATTCATGCCCTGATTTCCTGCCACCTTCTTCAGTATACTCTCATAGACCAAGAATTGTTTCAATGGATTATTGACCTGTTGAAAAAACAATTAATCAGGAGAGTATAAATGCATCAACAACAGAACAATTTAAATGAATTGAACAAGAAATCCACTACAGGTTATAAACTAAAAATGCAACACACCTTGCAGCACTAATGCAATGCATCTAAAAGTCTATCACGTGACGGGCTTAGAAAATCCACATCCAATTGTTACAACTGACACCAAAGCCCTGAAACACATTCAGATAGTTCAGTCATATAGATTCAGAAAAACCGCTATCAAATTGCAGTCCCATACTAAACAGCCAAAAAAAAAAAAAAAAAACAACAAAAAAAAGCATTCTGAAAAATAAGAAGAGGGCTTGCCATTATCAGAGTGGACGAAACGCCCATTCACAATGAGCAGCACTCTGGTTCCCTTGTGCGAGTCCCTGACCTGTAGCGAGAGGCCCAGCAAGCACTTCGCAGTCATTAACTAATAATGATAAAGACTGATATTGAAAGAAGTTTACCATAAAACCCGCGTCAATAGAATCGGTGAGTGCCAGTCGCAACGAAGTATTTCAGAGAAGTCATACTATAAATGTCCAAAGAGTAATACACTTGGTGTCTGTAGACACTGCTACAGCTTTTGGAATAAGTACGAGGAGGACATCAATAATCAGGCAACAAACATGTGTTGGTTAAGTGAAAGTTGAACTTAAAAAATAATAACCTAAAAGGAAAGAGAAGAACCCGAGGCAGTACTCTACTTGCGTCAGCGACTACGCGACCTCAAAAGACGCAAATGAGGAAGAAAATTAGAATAAAAGAAAGGCGTCTACCCTGCACTACCGACTCTCAAAACTTGTTCACAGCAAACTTGTTCTCAAAAACCTAATGCGACTTGAATCACCGATACAAAAGGTAGGAACAGAAGGAAGGCAACGGCCCGCGATTGGAACATAAGCCTTCCGCCATTCGGTTACGTGAATTGGATTCAACTGAAAGTCAACAAACTCCCTGACCGTAAAACTTCCAATGCTCGATGATTGGAATCTCAAAAATCTGAATCTAATTATTGGTCCAGCTATTCCCTCTCTGCTGAGATTGTACGGAAACAAGACCCTACCATCACTTCCCAGAAAATATTCTCAAATCCCTAGGCAAAACACTATGCCCTGAAGTCTATCATAAAAACGCATCCGATCAAAGAGGCGCTGTATGGATACTGTAGGACCTCAAGGGAGTGAACACAAGGAATTACTGAGTATTAGTCGCGTGTTTTTTTCCCCACTGCTCAAATATGCAACAATTCTGTATGGAAACTCTATTCAAATCGCACCTGCACAAGCGTCAAGTGATCCTCGTGTGAAGCAGTAGTCTCTTTGAATCCAGCCCTCTACGCAGCAGAATACACCATCTTTGAAATACGCCTTCGCAGTATGCTCCGTAACAAGAAATTAAAAACAGAATCCCTGTCTAGAACCTAGGGGACTTCTCCACCACCAATGCTTCCAAATGTAAACCACCGAAGGAATTGAACGACTAGTTATTACAGATGCAATGTCCATGAACGGCCACCTCCGCTTGACGTGCACTTAAAAGTTCTCTTTCGGAAAAAAATTGACATTAAAAAATCAAAAAAATCGAGGCGAGAGCTATTGAACTGAACCTAAAATCCAGAGCTTCAGCAAATTCGTTGAAGCGACAACTGGTAACCAGGGAAGTCAGCAAACTCCGAGTCTCCTTCATCCATGTTTCCCAAGCCCCTCCTACCCACGCCTACAGACCTAAAACACGGTCTACACAAATATGGGAGGGAAAAAAAAAACTCCACCCGCATCAGCATCGAATCAGCTCCCACGACCTCAAGCGACGCCACAATACGCGAGAAAATCATTGAAAAAATCAAGGTTCCCTACTTCTAGAAAATCCATGCTTCCACCCATGCCCTTGCAATCCACTTCAACCTTCAGGCCATGAATCCAATCTGCAATGCTGGACAATGAACCCCGACGCCGGATCATCGCAACAAAACCCTCGCAGAGATCCCCCTATCCACAGACAACGAATGACGCAAGTCATAAAAAATATGGCACCAATTCCCGAAGTTAGAAGCTAAAAATGGCGGTAACAAAAAAAGAGCACGGCAGCTTTCATATCAAAACGAGAAAAGGGAGACAATCACCAAGGATTCCGCCATCGGGGGGAGGGGACCGAGCTCACCATGTTTGATCAAACATGTGTGCCACACTCGACTTCCCGCCGAGAGTCGACAAACCACAACAAGGAACGTCGAATTCATCCCAGTCGTCGGTTTTCAAACCAACGACACGGATGGGACGGCGATTTTCCTGATGGAAACAATCTCCGTCGAATCTGCTCTGCTTTGACCGTTACGTCTTTGGATGAATTTGCTAATCAGGGCATTCATGGCATCGTCGAGGAAAAAAATAATTACAGCATGGGATCATTCCACTCCAGGCCTCCTCCTCCTCCTTCCTCTTGCGTGCACGAAACCCGGGCCTCTCTTTCTGAGTCTTGTCCAAACTCTTCAGGAGCGATTGATCTCATCATCCGCAGCTGCAAACCTCCCCTGACCATTGCCCGCACACGCACACCCACACGCACCATTTTCTATATCGTTTATCTTGGATAGGTTTCCCGGTGAAGAAGAAGAAGAAGAAGATGGATATTAATAACAACGATTACAACACATGGCATCCGAAACTTATTCCAACACTCTGGCCTTGCGAATTTCAACAGGCGCTCTCAGTGCTGCTCCTCCATAACCTCGAGACAAGCCACCTTCGCTTCGCTCTTTCACAACAAAAATCCATCTCTACTTCTGCTTCTTCTTCTTGGTCTGTCTCCTCTTTGACAAGATGATGCAAGCTCTACGAAAACAGATTCCGCGGTTCAGAATGCAAGCTTCATACTCACAGCAAACCATTCTGCTGCTGCAACAGCAACAACAGCAATAATAACAGGATTGCTTGGATATCATTTCGAAGCTTCGAGAGAAATTTGGGCGGGGAGCTTGTGTTCCAATCACCGTCTACATATTCAAATTATGTGGTTCATGGATATTTTTAATTGTATGGGATTCTCGCGGTTGATGTTACGTTGCCTTATTGTGGGTTTCCAAAATAGTGTATGTTGAGTTTTAGTAAGTATGAATTTCGAGTTTAGATGCTTTGTTATATTGGTGTGGTTACTTTAGATAGAATTGTGAGCACAGGAATTAGATAATAAGTTTTTCTTATTTGTTTGTTTTTGTGACGAAATGAAGAAATATGGTGAAATGGATTTTGGAGGTGTTATTTGGAGTTTTGTTTTGAGTTATTGAATGAAAAAGTAAGTAGAAATTGTTTGCAATGACTTTACATTATTTAAAGCAATGAACAGGAATAGGAATGGTTTTTCATATTTCTTGGAATTATTAGAAATAAAAACATGTACAAACATTTTTTTAAGATTTTATTAGGAAAAGAATATGTTTTAATAAGAATAAAACTTTAGATTATAATATTATTTACTATAGACAATGAATTGTGCTTGTAATAAAATTGTTATGTTTTAAATAAGTTTTTGAGATGTATCTCCTATAATAAATATTCTAATTATCACATCCAAAATCGATTGATCGATTCATGTATATTGTTAAGATTATCATGTGACAATTAGCTTTATTGATATTCAAATTAAAAAGAAATTGTTGCTTGTAATTTAAATTAAACATAAATATTACACACCTTAGGCTAATATATGTTCCTTTGCAAGAAATAAACTGTAAATTGTTAAAAGGGTTGAAAAGAATTGATTGTTTAATAATATTTTTCTTTATCTTTGGAACTAATGTCAACTTTTATTCCAAGATGTGTTATGTGTCATTTTTATACAATAGTCATATCAAAACATTGTGATGGAAAACTTAACATCATTTTGAAATAGCGAAACCTTGCCAATTTGTTAGAAGATAATATTCATTTTTTTCCCCGAATAAAAAACCATTGGAATGTATAAACAACCATCACATTAAAATATTAACATATCAAAACTTGTGTAATTTTAGCACAAATGTTCTGTAATTTAAATGTTTCTTTTGAGTCTTTTAGATTTTATTAATGTAAAAATCACACACATTGAATGTGTTCCAGCACACTCACTAAAAGAACATTGATGTATTGAAATAAAATTCCATAAAGTAAAAAATTCATCTTTATCTATATATAAATCATGTAAATATTATATAGATATATAATATTTAATCATTCCTTGTAAACTAAATTGAATTGGCTGTATGTTTATTTGTATATTCACTACAATTTTTAATAACCCTGATTTTTTTTTTAAAAAGTAACTCTAAAATTTTGTATATGACAAATAAAAATAAATAATTTACCAAGAATTGTGTCCATATATAGTAAAATAGATTTAAAAAAACTAATATAAATCTATGTATTAAGACTATAAATATGTGTAATCTAGCAAATAAGAAAAACTTATTTAAACTTATTTGTGTCAAGTTATTGTTTCCATTTGAAATTTTCATCGTCACAAACAACTTGAGAAACATTACTTTGGAATAAAAAAAAGTAAAAAAATAAAATCTGAATTAACAGTTACATATATATATATATATATATATATATACTTTCTAAAACATTATTGTTCAGGAGCAGACTTCCAGACATGAGAATTAGAATGTGAGAACAATCTGATGACGGCTGCTTAAGACATACAGCTCCAGCATCACAGTTATCTGAATTCACCTGCCTTGCATTATACCCTAACAAAACAACAATCTCCATGACTTCAAAAATGTGGAATTAAATATTTATACCCTACTTCACCCACAACACAGAGCAACATGGTTGCTTTGCTGTAGAGATATTTGAACACAGTCAAAACTCTCAGGCCTGAACCTCAACCTGCCAATGTTTGAATCAAGGCCCCATTTTGGACTTTAGATCCCATCTCATGCTACTAACATACCCCAAGCATGAAAATCTTGCCAAGATACATTGAAGAAGAGACCTCGAGGTGAAGTAAGTGTTGGATGAAACAGATTGCAACACTACTAGTTCAATTTCTTCAAACCAGAATGTTGAAGACAAAGATGGCCTTTGTTTCGTCAACAGTACACTGAAAGATATCATTGGCAAGGAGTAATATTTGTCAGTCATGAAAATTTCAATCAAAGCCACATATTTTAACATGACACAAGTATTGCATTTGTACAAGTCCTAAGAAGTACACGTGCAAGTTTTGATTTTTTCACAATAGCAGTTGTGTGTTGCCGTTATGAGATCTTAATGTGTGTCCTGTGAGGTCTCTGAGGCAGTTCCCTTCAAATTGATATTCTCAGTCCAAAGAGGAGGGATAATTGTCAGGAAACCAGCGGCGCTCCAGTAATCTATCTTTGCGGCGCCGCAAGCGTCTTTGTATGTAGTAAAGATCTATTTTCCAGGTTTCGAGTATTGCTTTAAGACTGGTCCAATCAGTTGTGATCTCTTCCGCATCTGCATTGTTCTGCTTCAATTCTGCACCTGTCTCCTCAACAACCTCAACAAGCTTTTCAGCGAACTGCTCCAACCGTCCACACCGATACCATGGTTCATACTGCGTAACCAAAAGGGTATCACAATCTGTTAGTCTAGATGAACATTTTAAGCAGAGAACATTCTGATGTTTTTGTGCAATAATCATGTTGCAAAGAAAGAGACCATAAGCAAATGTAGGGTTGGTGTTTCACAACCTTTCCTGTGGCAATCGCATCGATGAACTTCATTATGGCAGTCTCCACCTTTGCGAAACAGTTTACGGCTTGTTGCTGCAGAACCAAAAGATATTGCTTCAAGTTATTTTTATGAACGTTTGATGCACAGTGCATTTCTAAACTTGTTCTTGAGCACCACCCTGCTGCAAAAAATAAAAATAAAAGACCACATTGCAAACTTTTTCAGAGTATTAATCGAAACCTTCTCTTTCTCCTTCTTTGCCAGTTGAACTTGGAGAGCCACGAGCTCAGTTACACACTCTTCTATGCACATCTTCGCTGCATCCTTGATCTCCTTCGACGTTGTTTCCTCCCTTGTCTTGCTAGACTTCAACTCATTTTCTAGCTCTTCCACTCTGTCTCTCATTGATTGTAGCTCCTTTGACGTTGGACTCTCGGCAGCAGGCTGTTCTTGTGTGTCGGAGAGTCTGTCTGTGGTCTCTACACCAGGCTGTTTTTCACTTATACCGGTGAGTGTCTGTGTTGCAAGTTCCTCCACTTTTGGATTCTCCAACTCATACCGTTCATGTTGCGCTTCGGCGAGTGTTGCTATTGCTTTCTCCTCGGATTTCTGGTTCTCTGCACAAGGCTCATCTTCATGGTCATCGTAGACTCCATCTTTAATACCTCGAATCAAGTCATCGTACTTCGTTTGTAAATCTTGTATAACACTTTGCCAATTCAGCAAGTCGTCCAACCCCGCATAATGTCTGTTGGAAAGTCGACCTCTTTCCTACATTTCGGAAAACAAGTTTAGGCATGACTACTTGAGCCAAGTACACGATAAACCGCACGAATATGAAATATTTCCTCCTATGTCAAGAGCAGTGACTGAGAATATGGTACACTCGTTGTCATGTCTGTGGCTACCGAAATGTCTTCGCAATCATGCCATGGGTATAGTGCATCTTACCTTGTCTTTTTTCCAATCAGACCCCTGACCGAGAGCCATTGTTGACAGTGATAAGATTTGATTGACCTGGCTTTCTCGCCAACGAGCACCCACAGTGTCATTTCTACGTCGCACTTGTTACCATCTTTCAATTCTCAGGATCTCAATAGAGATGCGAGAGTAAAAAACTGCAATGGCAATTTAGCGGTGCAGCACAAGCAAGATTCGATTGCCCCTCTAAAGGCAAAGCACAATCTAATTGTCACTCACTGAACGACACACTCGCGCTACTTTCTAAAAGCACAACATCCAACGCTGAAACCACTATTCATGAGTCTCGTAGCATAAATCACCACCTCCATTAACTGGCGAAGATGCCGAGGCTTTGCATTATTGCAAGCAAGATAGCAGAATCCATATCCATCACACTCACATGTACAGAATTATGATACTCCACTCAAGGGTTCCTCAATCGTTGCAATCAACAGCACGGGTTCATTTCATCGACACTAAATCGTCGACAAGTCGCAGATGATCGAGAAACACAAACACTCCCCCCACTGCACCAAACGAATCACACAACAGCATGGAGTTAGACGGCAGCATCTCCAAAGGTTCAACACGAACCCAATTGTCATCTGATCATGAAACTGAATGAGCTTTTCTAACAGGCGAACAAGGTCATCCTCGTTCGCCTCAATTCCTCCAAACGCCCTCCATTCCAGCCAGGCCTACTGATCTCGACTTGCTGCAATCACCGACTCCGAAGAATCGATAAAGCCCAGAGACAAGTTAGGGTGAGAGATTGCGGTCGAATTTCATAGAAAATTCGAATCCAAACCCACCTGGCGTCGTGGCAGTTCTGATTCTGCACTTGCGATTATCCTCCAAACGTAATCGATCCATCCAGATTTCCTTGGACTCCGAAGCTTCCGTCGACCTCGACAGTGGCTCTTCGGCGTGAAAACCAAGACAAGGAACTTTAGTTCAGATAGTGTACTCACAGTTCATACTCTAGATGTAAATTAATAGCAGAAAACAACATGATGTATTATGCGATATTAGAAAGAATCTGGTCTGATTGCTTCTATTGTGGATTAATATGATATTTCTATTTACATTTTATTTATGTTTGTTTTGTATATCCAAATAAGATGTGCCCCAATATTTGTAGTAGGAGAGATGTGTCAAAGTTTGTGTTGTTCAAATTATATATTAAAGTAGTATATAATTAAATAAGTAATACATTATTATTATTATTTTTATTAACCATTGGAATTTTTAATTTTAATTTTAATTTTTTAGTTCTATCTTGTTTGTTTGACTATATTTTTATTCTTTTGCTTGATATTTTTTTGTCTTTTTTGTCTTTTTTTTTTTTCTTTTTTTTTTTTTTTCTATTACTTTCTCTTTAATAGATGCTTATTAAGGCAAGGTTTTCATAGGACTCAAGAAGCTTCCATTGACCTTGGCAACAACTCTTTTGCGTGAATATCAAGACAAGAAACCGTAGTTATGAGATAATGTTCTATAAAGTTCATATTCTAGATGTAATTTAAGAGCAAATAATAATATGATGTATCATGCAATTTTAGTGAGAATTTGGTCAAATTGCTTCTATTCAGGATAGATAAGATATTCCTATTTACAATTTGTTATGTTTGTTTTGTATATGCAAATAAGATACATCTCAATATTTGTAGTAGAAGAAATGTGTCCAAATTTATGTTGTTTAAATTATATATCAAAGTAATGTGTATTTAAATAAATTAAGGCATTATTCTTTAGAAACCTTTGTAATTTTTGATTTGATATTATTTTTTGGTTCAATGTTACTTGACTATATTTTTATTCTTTTGTTTGATATTTTTTGTCTTTATATATATATATATATATATATATAAACTTTTTCTTCAATAGATGCTTATTAAGGCAAGGTTTTTCCTAGGACTTGAAATATCCTTTATCTCAAGAAGCTTCCATTGACCTTGGCAATGGCTCTTCAGCATGAATCTCAAGACCAAGAACTATAGCTTTGAATTAGTATATGTAAAGTTTATATTTTAAATACAAATTAAGAATAGATAACAATATGATGTATTATGCAATCATAGAGAGAATCTGGTCTAATCCTTTTATTGTAGATTGATATGATATTCCAAGTTACATACTTTTATATTTGTTTTGTATATACAAGTAAGATGTATTCCAATATTTATAGTAGAAGAGATGTGACAAAATTTGTGTTTTTTTCATGTATATATTAAATAATATATAATTTTAAAAAATAATGCATTATTCTTTAGAAACCATTGTAATTTTTTTATTGTTCTATATTTTTTGATTATATTTTTATTTTTTTGTTTCATATTTTTTGGTTGTTATTTATTTATTTATTTTTACTTTCTCTTGAATAGATACTTATTATGGCAAGGTTATCATTAGACTCAAGTTTTCCTTTGACTTGAAGAGCTTCTATCGACCTTGGATGTGGCTTTTTGGTATGAATCCCAAAACCAAGAACCAAAGTTTTGAATTAGTATACATAAAGTTCAAACTCTAGATACAAATTAAGAGAAGATAATAATATGATATATTATGCAATATTACAGAGAATTTTGTCTAAATACTTCTATTGTAGATTGATAAGATATTTCTATTTTCTTTTATTTTATGTTTATTTTGTATATGCAAAATAAGATGTTTCATAATTTTTGTAATAGAAGAAATGTGTCTAAATTTGAGTTCTTTGAATTATGTATAAAATTATTGTCTAATTAAATAAAATAATATATTATTCTTTAAAAACCATGTAGTTTTTTGTTTTGATATTTTTTTTGGATTCTATTTTGTATAATTATATTTTTATTACATTGTTTGATATTTTTTGGTAGTCAATTGTTTTTACTTTCTTTTCAATAGATGCTTATTAAGGCAAGATTTTCTTTAATCTTGAGATATCTTTAGACTTGAGAAGTTTCCATCAACCTTAGCAATAGCTCTTTGGCATGAATTCCAAGATAAGGAACCATAGTTTTGAAATAATGTACATAAAGTTCATATTCTAGATGCAAATTAAGAGAAAATAATAATATAATGTATCATGCAATTATAGAGAGAATTTGGTCTAATTGCTTCTATTGGAGATTGATAAGATATTCTCATTTATATTTTTTTTATGTTCGTTTTATATATGCAAATAAGATGTATTCCAATATATGCAATTGAAGAGATGTGTCATAATTTGTGTTGTTTAAATTATATATTAAAGTAATATGTAATTAAATTTAAATAATATATTATCCTTTTGTAACCATTATAATTTATTTTTTTGTATTTATTTTTTATTCTATATTGTTTGATTATATTCTCATTATTTTTTATGATATTTTTTAGTTGTTTATTTATTTTTACTTTTTCTTCAATGTATGCTTATTGAGGCAAGGTTTTAAGAGTATCTACTATCAACTAAAACTTTAGATTACTAAAATTTTATAAAACCTAGAAAAAAAAAATTTATATACATATACAATCTTAAATAGTTTTAGTCACAATTTTTTGATCTGCAAAGGACACAATAAATTAAAAAATAGAAAACTATTTGATCAATTAAAAACAAAACTAACAAAATTAGATTCTCTCTATTATTTCGAAATACATCATATTATTTATTCATGCTAAAATTGTATATAGAATATTAATTAACTCACACTAATTTAAATCTATAAGTTTTTGTGACTTAGAATTCACTTTAAAGTAGCTATCACTTATGTCAACCAAAGCCTATAATAAGAATGAGTAGGCCAATAAAATTAAAAATCAAGAATTAAAATCAATTTGTTGAAATTAATATAGCTTAATTAATATTTTTTATATAAAAGAAATCTTTAAAAAAAATGATGTATGTAAAAATAGTGATAAAAATCTAATATATTTGGTTAATATATATATATTTCAATAAAACCAAAGACATACTTATGTGCTTTAAATCAATGAAACATGTTGGATTTTATTTTATTTTAGACAATTTGGTCAATTTTCTTTCTAAGCTTTATTTCAACAAACAAACATCATTACTATCAAATAAGATACAAAAAAAATGCAAAGTTATTTAAGATAATTAGTTTTATCAACTTATTTATAGGTTTTAACTTCCAAAAACAAAATGGATGAAAAAAATTGGTTGTAGCTTAATGATTGCTTCTAACAACTTCAACCCAAATTCTTCAAAAGTAATTGCAAAAAAATGATTAAATAATATCATGTACATTAATTAAGGTTCCTACTCCAAACATTTATGAAATTTAAGTATAAATAAAACAAAAAAAAAAGTTAATTGTAGCACTCCAAAATAGTTTCAATATTTGAGTCACTATTTTGAGAATACAATAATTTCCACAAACAATGTAAAATGGTATTTCAATAGAAGATGTAAAAGAAAACAAGGGTGACATTTCTAGAATGGATCACATACCAAATGAAGATATTACACTAAATCAGTTTTTACAGAGGATGTGGGTATTGATACATGCAAGTGTTAGGGACTAAAACATCAATTTTGGAATCAAGATGGGATGTTTTTAAACTAAAACAAAGAAGGTGTTGATGCAAATTGTGTCTAGTTTGTCAGGAAGATGTAATGGACTCTCCACAAAATTACCTTGAATTAGTGCAAGCTTCTGTTGTCAGTGCAGGCTGCAAGAATCGAAACAATTGGTGGACACATGAAGAACAAGTGAGAACAACAAGTTTCCTTTGATAGTCAATCGACGCCGTTGTTTCGAATGATCCACCCCATGCATGTCAAAACCACTCACACCGTTACTGCAATGCTTACCAAAGGTCACGCCTCTTCACCCACACAAACACATTTGCAGCTTGAAGCGAGAGCCTCTCTCCGACGTCCCTTGCACCACTGGTGCCAAAACCACAAAGAAAAAACTCACATCAAGACATGTAATTCATTGCTGTTGGCATGTCAAAAAATGATCTGCGCATGGATCTGAATGGACCCACCCACTTCGTTTTCATGAGCAAGATGATGAGCAACAATTTGAGTAAGTCTTGAACAAACTCCAGTTGATCTGCAGATTTGTTGGAAGAGTTCATGGCATGAAGAGTAGTGGCTGAGAGCAGAGTTCGTGAAGCAGCTTACAGGTAAGTTTTCTACACCGTATGTACCTTTTTTTTGTTTTTTCAGAGCTTGCACTCGCAGTTGCATCCCATCAACTGCAACCCTCAGGTGCCTGGAGTATATACTTGCACTCGTAACATTGTCCAGCCCCTTCCAATCAACAGAAGCTGTGCGTCCTGTCAGGTAAGTGTTTGATTCAAATTAGTAAATAAAGTGTCGTGTCTTCGGAATGCTACACACACAACCCTTTGCATTTCCTGTTTGGAACAAACCTGTGAACAAACTTGAAAATCTTTGTCCTGCACAAGAGCTTTGTCGACACAGATGTTACAGGTTTAGTAGCGAGACACAGTAAGAATACAATCCGAGACCATGAAGAATTCCACGCAGGAGACGTCAAGTGAGAACAAGATAGCTGTATGCACTCTTTGTAAAATCCTATTCCGACCCTCACACAAATGTTGCTTGCAAAGGCTATGGAAGCATATAGAGACCACCGCAAAGATGGAGACTGCAGCTGCCTCCAGTAGCCGGCCCAAGACGTCCACTCCCTTCGCAACGCGGATGCTGCCCGTGAAGTCGCATCCAACCACGCTTGCAAGCCATGACGGCTTCAAGCAGCCATCCACGTGGGTTGTTGAGTTCAGCAATTTGCATTCCAAGGACGAGGGCAAGGAAAATGCTTTTCAGAGCTGGGAGCACATGAAGCTGAGAGGAAAGGCGATGACTAAGGAAGTGATGGTGTTGATCGATTCGGGATGCACCCACAATTTCATAAATTCCACGGTCGTCAAGGTGTTGCAACTAAAGTCCACTGCCTTGGATCCCTACGTTGTGCACTTGCCGAACGGCTCCAACGTGCTCTGGAACCGACAAGTGAAAAACGTTCCGCTTAGAATTCAAACCTACTTTGATCTGATCACATTCGGAATCATGGATCTTGCACACATTGACGTGATCCTCGGTCAGCAGTGGCTATTCGCGAAAGACCCTAAAATCTCCTTCCGCAAGCACATCGTTGAGATTGATCACAACGGTAAGCGCCACAAGCTGGTGGGAGAGAAAGGCCTCCCAGATGCGGCTATCGTCACAAGTTTCTGACAAATCTGCTGCAAGTTCGGACAAGTTTTGATCGCAGCAGACTAACGTTGAGAGCACAAAGTAGTAGCGGCTGTAACTGATACCACATAGGTTCCAACTTTCAGAGAGTCAAAGAGAAGAGGTCACATGGACTTGGTTGACTGCAAATTTGCAGTAAGCAGACGAGAAATGGACCAGCAAAGCATACTCAACTTTGCCTTAAAACGAAGAAAATGCCAATAATCAAAGAGACTCTCTCCCACACAGAACCAATTGACTTGCATTGCCGATTAATCTCTCTGTCTAGACAACCTCCAGGCGCCTTCAGTTTTGTAAGAATGGAGAATTGAGGCATGTCAAAGACGGCACTGAGCACTCCAAATGTAGCATACTCTCATTTGCTATGCTGGCGGAAATTCAAATTAGGAGCGACAGATTCGGTACCTCGGGAGACGTGCCTAACACGTCAGTAGCCAGACGTCCGAATTCACAAGTGTTCAAGCTTTACAAGAATTGCGTTGCGAGCAGTAGCTCCCGAAATCAACAAGGCGTTTGGAACACACTAGTGTCTTAGCAGATGAAACCCAATACCGATCAACACGAAATTCGTCAACTTTCAGGTCATCGTGGATTTTGTGGGTACATTTGCATCTATGTTTACTCTCACTGCAACAAGAAAGTGCAAATTTACATCTAGTTTTTTACATTGAAAATTCTCGTTTCCAAATACTGTCTGGATTTTCTTGTTTCGAATCAAATAGGACGATGTCTCTACAGAGTTTCGTTGCTCTTCAATCATAGTATAATACAAAAAATCCTTTCATGGGAACCCTATCTTTTGTCGCCAACCCAAAAGCTTGGATCCATCCAGTCCAAAATTGTAGACCCCGTGCTCTTTGGTCTTCGATCGCATTCCGAAAAGCCCTTGCTCACCTGCATGTGCATATTTGTCAGGCAATCTCGCGCACCACGGAATCGAGTACCGTGCGTAATCAACAGCATCATTCACTGGTTACTTTGTGCGTATTGAACTCGGTACAGCGTCATGATAAATGCGATTCCCGTCTGCCACCACCCACGTTGCCCGACCCAAAACTGGTGATGCGGATAACAGAACAGGACAGTCTTGGTTGATTTTCGTCCTACAGGAACTGTGTAGAGCCTGGTTTTGTGAGAGAATTAAAGGTGAGGCTTTGTCGGAAGAAAAAAAATATGGCAGCTCACACGATGCGTGCGGTTCAGTACTCAGCCCTCGGAGGCGGTGCTGCAGCGCTTCAGGTATTTGACTGTGAGGAATGCACGTGGAATACTCTATGGCGGCCCTAGTGCCTGCGAGCGCTAAAAGTTTTGTGATCGTTGTTGCGGAGGTTGTTCGCTTATTCTGTGGTATAGAGAATCAATTGTTAACTGCAGAGAATATGCAAGAGCAGAGGTTTAGTGAGTTGTGTTTTTTGGTTTTGGTTTTCGGTGCAAGTTTCCTCTAGGAGACAAAGATCTTCGACGAGGAAGGGGTAGTCCGGACTTTCTATGCGGACTTATCCTCTCTTCTCTGGTCATCGTTTCTTGTGGCATGTGGCACGTATTTTTATGTAAGCTCGTGAAATGTTGTAAATGATTGAAGTGGGATAAAGTTTCCACTGTCGTAACCGTCAAGTTTGTGTCTGCGTGTGACGACTGACAATTGGGTTTCGCAAAGGTTGAGGAAGGGCTAAAGATAAATGGCTACTGCAGTGGTAGCGACCAGGTTCAACCGAGTCTATAGAACACACGGCTTTTGTTAAGTGCTCAACAAAACTTTTTAATCGATCCTTTTAGATTCTCTATTTTTGAAAAGAACTCGGAGTTTTCTTTTTGTGTATTCGCAATAATTGTCCTGTGCAAGAGTTGGGTAACGTTCTGGGAACTTTTGGTCGAGTTTTACGTTCTGAGCTAAAAAAGACTCAATTTCTCACAGGATTGTTGCTTTTCTAATTGCAGCATGTAGAAGTCCCAGTTCCTCTACAAGCGAAGGACCAGATATTGGTTAATGTTGAAGCTGCTAGTGTGAATCCTGTAGACTGGAAATTCATTCAATCCGGGAAAGTCAGACCTCTTCTTCCAAAAGAGCTTCCCCGTATAGCAATGCACTACTTCATCAATTATCCATGTTTCACAATTGTGCAATTGAACTTTCCTTGACATGAAGGATTCGTCCAAAACATACAGTTACGGCAACGATTTGTAATTTTCCGTGTAACTGGGCAAGATGACTGGTTTAATGTGTTACCACTGTGAACAACTGTATGGCAGGCACCGACATTGCGGGTGAAGTTGTTGGTCTTGGTCCTGCCGTGACATCCAACGCCGTTGAGGACAAAGTATCATGTTGGACAGGTCTCAAGGTATGCAACTATAAAAGCATACCACAGGATCAATGAAAGCAGAGATAAAACCAGTATTCAACAATATTGGTGAATCATCAGAATTGGCCAGATGCATTTGTTTGTGGTTAGGACTGTTGCTGAACATGAACGTTTATTCCTTACATGTAGAAATTGCTCCCACTTGTTACATCTGTGTTGGCATTGTGAACATAGCCTAGTACTCATGATATGTTTGAATCTTGGGTCTTCTTTTCAGAATGGAGGGTCATTAGCAGAATATGCGATTGCATCCATCAAGACCACAACCAAGAGACCAGAACGTGTGTCGTCACTAGATGGGGCATCCTTGGGTGCAAGCTGTGCGTGACAGCGCAGGAATTAAATTGGATGGGACCAGCAAGGATATTAACTTGCTCATCACAGCAGCTTCTGATGGCGTGGGAACCTATGCAGTACAGGTGTGAATTAACGCACCGTGTGTGGCATTTTAACCCAAAGACGATATGTATACTTGGTGAACATCATTTGATTTACAAAGCAAGTATCCTTGGGGGCTACCGTCATGAATCGTCTACCTTTATTCACCCTCGACTGGCTGCGTTTTGGTTTCAGATAGCAAAACTGGGAGATGTGCACGTAACAGCTACATGCGGAGCTCGTAATATTGCCTTAATCTCGAGCCTTGGGGCAGACGAAGTGTTGGATTACCAGACACCTGAGGGAGCAAAACTGCAAAGTCCGTCTGGAAGAAAATACGTCTTCGTCCTTCATTGCGCCAAGTACCATCCCTTCTCCCACTTCAAACCACAGCTCTCAAAGAAAGGTAAAGTGATTGACCTCACTCCGTTTGCCAAAGGTTTGATTACCACAGGAATCCAACTGGCAACGTTTTCTGCCCAGAAATTTTTGCAAATTTTTGTGAACTCTAACAGCGATGACCTTGCATTGCTGACAAATCTTATCAATGAGGGTAAGCTGAAGACGGTAGTGGACTCCACCTTTCCACTGTCTATAGCAGAGAAGGCTTGGGAGAAACAGATTGAAGGTCATTTAACAGGAAAGGCTTTTGTTACCATGATTGAGTAAAACGTTGATTCGTCAAGTTGGGGTTATTTTAGAGGAAGAAGATGATTCATAAAGTGGGGGTTATCTGAGAGAACTGGTCGAGCCTGATTAGCTGCAGTTTTCATCTTTGCTTGAGTAATTTCATAAGGTAGTGTTGCAAGAAATTGTTGTATACCTCACGTGTATAACAGTGTTAGTCAAATTTTAACCTTCCATTTGAATTACATATAATTAGCAATAAAAATATCCACACTTGTCACCCTCGTATTAATTTATTATTATTAAAATTGATACATTTTTATGATTTTTTTGGTAGATGTATTAATTATTTTGTAATTAGGTGTTTTTTCATTTTAAAATCTGCTATTTATATTGTGATTTAGATGAGTAGATATTTCAAACCTTCAAATAATTTGATTTGTAGTAACATTGCGATAAATTTATGTTATAAGCTAAACAATTAAATATTTAATTCTTTACGTTTTTAGATGAACCAGAACATATTATATAATATTATTCGAATGAGAAGAAATTCAAGATTTAATGTAAAATATCAATTGGTGACAATATTCTATAAGGAAACAACAAAGTTTAGTTACAATAGAAACCAATTGAAAGGACACCAGTAATTGTTAAAGAACTTGAAATTAAACAATCAAATAAGTAGCAAGTGTTAACTTTATAAAATATTAGACTTAATTGATGTTTAATCCAAGGCAATAACAAATAGTGTGCACATTAATAAACATGACTATTGGCTGAAAAAAATACATGCCACAGTCAAACCGACAATTTAAGTTGGACAACACATTCAACTAACAAGTGATTGTGTGCTTCTCAACCATCTGTGGTCATAAACATGGTGAAATTCAGCATCTAATGAAAACAGTGTCAAAAGATATTCTTACTGTCAGAAGAATGGTAAAAAGAATTATCGTCATAAAATCATTTGTTCTCGGATACCGATTGTAATATTCACAGTATAAATCAGAACCTCGAAAGCAAAATTGAGGATCTGAAGCTCTAACCTTCAAATGACCCTGATCCACACAAGATTCACCAGGAAGAATGTGCTAAACTGCTCATGCAGCCCTGCAATCGAACAATCTGCTGATAGTAGTTGCTTAACAGCTACAAATGAAATGGCTAATCTTAATGCAAGACTTACAACTGCTCAACCCCTGAAACCATGTCACTGCTCAACCATGGGAGCTGTTATGTGATCCAATAGTGCAGAGGGACACTTCACACGCAGCTTTTGATGCTTCTGCTCCCTTCTAATGCTTAACCACTTTCCAAACCATGAGACAAGTGGCTTAAATTTAGGGCCACATCTTCTCATGTCATCTATATAGGCTTGGAAATGAGTTGATGGTGAGTAGGGAACAGGAAAAAATCGATGTATGCCCTTCAAATGAATTGACAAAGCGTTGCCAAAGAAAGCTATGCTCAATATAGAGTGTAGTAACCTATCCACGTGTACACAGTTGTGAATACGACGATGAAGAGGGTGGGGAACATAGAAAAGTTAAGGAGATTTTCCATGCCTGCTTTTCCTGCGACAGTGATCATCCCATCTGCCAAAGCACGAGCAAGTGTACCTGCTTCGGTGGAGAGGAGACCACAATTGAATACTCCCCTGGATAAGCGAGGGGACATGACCTTCGCTAACAGTGACATGTTCACACCTACGTGACAAATTCATTTCACAAGCGTTAGCTTTGCGATAAGTTCCCAAGAAAAATGTACTGATTTTGTATATGAAAGAAGCTAAAAATGCGGATTAGCTTGCCTCGGTCTGCATTTTTCATCCTGCTCTTGACTAGTAACACGTATGTCATGAGAAACGTAAATGTAAAAAGAATTAACGTAACTTTCCAGGCGAACATGGCAGAAACCTTATTACCTTCGAGCACATTTGTAGAAACAAATATGATAATTGCTGCTGCCACATATTGGTATGTGCTGTACTGGAAAAAGGGGCTATAGCAGAGAATTGCAATAACACCAACGCCAGTGGTGATTTGAGTCCACAAAACTACAAGCCTGTAAATCGTGTATCCCAAACTTAGACAAACATTCGAACCATGTATTTTTGATATTGAATCAGTTCAGAGAGAATATCTTCATTGCCCCCTATGATGTAAATCACAAGTACATACAGTGTGTCACTGATAACCTATACTACAATCGTTAACCTCAAATAGTATGTTAGCCTCCACTTTCATCCATCAGAAAAACCCCTAGACATGTTTATTAAAATTCTACTATATAACATTACTAAACTCAGAAGCAGCACTAACCTGTCTTCATAAATGTTGCTGATGCAGTTTCCAACAACGGCACTAATCGGCAGTACAGTCAAACCTAGAAGCGACAAAAAGATAGAAACCTGCAAATCATATCAACCCGTTAAAGACTCACTGTGAATTTAAAACTTCGTGATAAAGACTAATTTTAATGCTCACTGATTGCCCTGCTGAACAAAGGTTAAACAAGGTGCTGATACTAATCTTCAAGTAGAGCTCACGATGACCTCATTTACCCAGAAATTACAACCAAAAGCTTCTATATGCATATAACACAAATTCCAAACCTAGAAGTGAAGAAGTGCATGTGCGGTAATATTACCTGATAAGTAGTCCAATTAAAATAATATTGGGTCAATATGCTGGATTCAGAAATGAGAAGCTCAGAAGCGAACTTAAGCATAAAATAGATCCACAGTAGAATCCTGATGGGCACGGTTAGCTCCTTCATGAGTTCGCTAACTGTCTCAACCGCCCTATCATCACCATAATCTGAATCATCACCCTTCCCATCTTCCTCATCTGACTGCAGATCTTTTGGCAAGTTGAGGATAACTGGTCTTGGAGGATCTCCTGACAGTGATGGCAACAGAGGCTCATTCAACGTTGAAGGAATTCGCGAAGAGTCATTCACGCCGGCCAGGTCCTTCTCAGAGACGTGCCTTGATATAGGTCCAGTTGGTTGCGGCCTCTCAGGTTCTTTGAAAAACAGCACAATCAAGAGAAAATACCCAGCCCAAGCAGCAAACAGTAACCATCCTGGGGAAGTCACAAAATTCACAGGCGCTCCATAAATCTGCAAAGAACAATCCATTGTGGAAGGATTTAATTAAATCCAGAAAGTCAACTAGAGAGAGCTATTTCATGAGAGTTGTAAAAGTCAATAATGAAAGAAAATTGCGAAGAAGTAAGACTTCAAATACCTTGAAATTAAGTTTACTAAGAGCACCTGCAAGAGCTGGGCCAACTGCCATCCCCAGGGCACTAGCGCTCACAAAGGCTGCAGAGGCACTTGTCAGCTGCTTGACTGGAACATGGTCAGAGATGTATCTCCGGTTGATCGCCCTCGCACCACCCAAGCTGCACGGTCATCCAATCACGGCGGAGGGCATGCACATTGCAAAACTGTCAATATAATTTTAGGGAAATATATGGACATTCTACGAGTTTATGAAAACATACAGGCAACATGAAAGACAATCACATTCAGATGATCAGATGAGACCGATATTAGAATTTGAAAACAATTAAGATGAAATTTACCCGCACAAAAAGCGGCCAAGGAGGAGGAGCCAAATGGAGTTGAAGTAAAGCGCCAATGCATACATCAAGTTGCCAGCCATCAAGATCAGAGTACTGATTAACAGAGGCGCAGTGTAGGAGAAATTCGACCACCAGCTGTATATAAGAGAAGACACAAGGGCTGCTAGGGGCATGGACCCTATAATAATACCACATAGGGTGGCTGGAGCATGTAGTAGCTCAGCATAATCATCTGAAGATGGAACCACAATGTAGTAGTTCACCTGCGAGGATTCATGACCTAATTGTCAGTTCATATGTGAAATAAATAAATAAATAAATAAAATTCTTGCAGATAAATTGTATAAAAGAAAAGTTGTGAGTCTGGGCATAAACTTCTATTCTGGCGTGATTCCTAATGGTTATTTTACCACTTGAATTAAACACTATCTTCTTCAATCTAATCAGCTGACACAACTTCAAACCAAACCCAAGTATACGTGTAGAAAACTGCAAGGATGAATTAAGTACCATGTAGAGGAAAGTGTTCAAGAGGTTAAGTTGTATAGACATAAAATGATAATCCTCTTGTTTGCCGGGTATTCCAGCAATTTCTTCCTTCGGTGCAGGTAGAAGAAGCTCATTGGCGACGAAAGACTGAATACTGATCTCTCGGGTCAAACGATGCATGGTTTCCACAATCGACTGCAAATTAGAGATTCACATTTACACAGTGAATAGACGAATATGCAAACGTATATTTCATATATATATGTATATATATATATATACCACCTCGAAGTGGTTGACAATATCAACTGTTCTAGGAATAAAATTTTGTTGATCTCATATTGACCTGGTAACCAACCCAGAGGCAAGATTTCAAGAGACATTCATGCTACACTATACATCACTTCATGAGAAAAGGTGAAAAAATAAATACGAGAAAATACCTGAATAACGGGCTCCTTCTCGACTACCCGTCTAGGGAGAGAAGAATTACGGAAAAGAGAAATAACGCTACTCGTGGAGCTTGTTTCCAAGTTCTCCTGTCTCAATTCAGCGAGATTGCGGGATATGGTAGCCACCATAGCCCCTAATCCCTGGAAGCCGCAACCAACCATGACATTAAGACAGATATATGGTGAAGGAATAAAAAAGTTGAACTTAAAATATTTGCCAAATTTGGAATACAAAATGCAGTGGACCAGAGAGCTTGTTCTCAACAAGTTTCGCAGGCTAGACAGAGGGTAGAAAAATGGAGGACATACCACTTGGCGAAACACTTGTTGAAGCTGTGAGTAGGGGTGATTGGATCTTGAAGATATGTATTGGTGACCAAGACGAAAACCAACTCGTTTGTCGAACTTCTTCAAAATTTTACGTATCCCTGTAGCATTGAGCTCCACAAACTCCAACAACTGTAGAAGATCGTAACCAATATGCCTGAAACAGATTTCATCGAGGATAAGACAATTCCGACGGTGTATAACTCAGACAAGGAAACCTCCGCGGGGGTCTTAGAATCACAATAATTACGGATGAAGGTTCAAACTTTGACAAGAGGGTAAGACTTGAAGTAAATTACCTATATTCATCCATCATAACCCAAGGCACTACAGCCGGGCTACATGGAGGCTCACCGGTTTCATCATCATAATAGTCTTGGTTAGCCATCTCTCTCTGTTTGCGCAGTCGTTGCAATCGCTCCGCTAGAAGTCCCTGCCTCTCAATTAGAAACAAGACGATTTTCTCTACCTGCAGCAGCATCGTTCCAATTCCCTTAAGAGAACTATTCTCCTAAAACCAAACAACTCAAAGAATTCGTACAAAATCAGTAAAGACTTTCACGTCTATACTTGAACCTGGGACTATAAAGCCAACCAAAGATATTGTTTCTTAGGAAATGGTTAAATTTGAACGTTAAAAAGCCACATACTGGAGATCATGTCATAGGAAGAAAAACTAGGCAAACCTGGGAGTCAAGGAGCTCCGAAAAAGATCTGACAATTTCGTGGCGTTCCTCATCTGATATACCAGAAGCGTGTGCACGCTGAGAGTAATGCTTTATCCTTTTCTTCAGTGCCTTGTAACCGATGTAGTATCTGCACACCGATCACTGATTAATGCGATGGCAAACACCCTGCCTCAACACATGTTCTATTCCACACAGTGTGTACCATCTCATTTACGTCATAAATTTTAATTTGGAATGGCTAATCGAGACATACTCTCCCCAGCCAGGAATTTGGTTATCCAGAATGTAATGCCCAAAGTGCACCATCTTGGCCGCGTAATTTTACTCCGCTGAAGTTCCTCGACGGGTGGTGCAATCTCGAGCGAAAAGATACTGTCGGTTTTTAACTCAGATCACAGACCTGTTACAAATCCGCAAAATTGAACATCAGCATATTGGCATCAAGCGACGCAGTTTCTCGCTTTACAGAGGTTAGACGATGCCTGAGACGATAAAAACCTATTCAGGTCAATGACAGAGACCTTCAGCAGAAGATAAATTTCAAAATAGCACCCACATCTGCATGACAAATTCGTAAACAAATCATTTTCTGACAACAGATCTTAAAGCTAGCAACCAGTTGATGCGGAATCTCTAGTGTGCACCGTATATACCGTGATTCACCTAACTCATGCACCTAGTAGACGTTCATGTATGACTTGAAAATCGTCGTCGTGTTAATCAAGTACGGCTGACGAACGCCCCACTACACACAACCCTCTCTTTCAGACTCTTCGCTTCAATTGCATAAAACCTTAGTCCAACAATGTATACATTTAAATTTCGACGAATTCCTTAAAATCCGTGCTAGCTTCTGAGATTAAGGCGTGCACTCATTCTTCCAGCTTCTACGAGCACGAGTAAAACACCCTTTGCAAGCCTGTTTGGGCTAAGATTCCACCGACAATCCACCTAGTATGAAGGAAATTCAGCATTTTTCGACTGAAATTGAGTTACTGAGGCTACGTCTATACAAAGATCGCACCTATCACCACAAGTAAAAGAACTCGTTCATCAAAATCCTCTTGAGTCAACAGCATCAAAGCATGACGCTGCCCAAAAACGCGACACGGGAACTCTCAAATGTACTTACAGAAGTAGAGTATTCTCCCAATATGAGGGGTGATGACTTCTACAGAGAGCAGGCAACTTCGAGGTTGTGAGATCTCACACTGAATTCTACAATCAATGTAAATCTAACCACTGATAGGAATAAACTCGCTGTTGAAGGTTGGGGGAAGCGATGACAACACAGCGGAAGCGAAGCTTGGAGTCATAACCTCACACATGTAGGGTAATTTAAAGCTCGAGATTCATGCTTGAACCCTCTCCTAAGATCAACTGCTAAAAGCCCTGTTCTCTTACTATCAAGCCGCACATTCAACCACATCCTCAAAGCGATCTGTCCTCAAACCCTCCCAAACTCCTCACCCCTGATGCTTCGCAGCGCCTCTTACATTTCCCGGTGTGCATGAATGCCCTTTGGAGCTACTCAAACTCAAGGTGTACCAGTAGACGCACCCCCAATATGACCTGAGCCTCCATACAAACAACTCCACCGGCACTATTACCCGCAAAACAATAAGAGGCGGCTGCTAACGCGACCCTATAAACACTCCGCAAAATTGCTGCATCCACATCCACGAGCACTGCCAACTTAAACCATGAGACGAAAACCAAGCCAACGAATGATGTCAATGCTCTGATCTCCCACACTTTCAGACAAAATCACCCCCCACAGCAATCCACTCTCTAAGAACTTCATTCGCTGTAACAGCCCCTAGCATCCATCTTAAACCGGAGCTTTAAATATTGTCATATGATCGTTCAAAGAACTCTTGCATGGATTTTACTCCAATTCCAATCGCATTTGACTAATCCCCATCCACCCACCTTCCTGCAGCCAGAAACAAAAAAACTCATCCAGCCAGAATCACCACCACCACTACCAATCTTTCTCTCCAATCCGACAATACCGCATGTAACACGGAAATTTTTTTCAAAGCGTGGGGCCCCATCCCTCGAACAGAGCCAGGAAGTATGTGCGACCATCCGATAATCTAAACTATTAATAGACCTCGCCGTCGTCGCAACATTGCTGTTTCTGCATGTAACCCATCGTAAAAGCTTTCAACCACCTCGGTAAAAGCTCCTGAAACTTGTCCACGCAAGGGGGCAACAACCAAGACGCGTGAATACGGGCACGTGGATTGTATTCTTCGATTGACAACAACAACACCGATAAGATCCGAGAGAGATGAATTTGGCTCCATGAAGCAAAAAACCGCTGCAAGAACCGACGCCGCGAAAAGCAAAGCGGCCCCATTCTTGGGAAGGGAAGGGCGACGCGCCACGCTCTTGGGTGCGCCGTTGTGGCCATGGGGGTGGTTTCTAATTGCGGCGGGCATGGGTATCCGCTAATCCGCATCAGGCTACACTATCCCCCAGTGTTCTATTTTCAACGCGCTTTAATAGAATCTCCAGGATTCTGTTTAGCTGGTTCATCGGATTCAGATTCAATCTTAGTGCATCATGTGTTTCACGGGCAATACACATCCTAGCGTTTAATTGGTTTAATAACAATAATAATAGTAGTAATATTAATAACAATAATACTTTCTTTATATTTTCTCAACAGTTGGGCTGTGGCTGCTCCAACTTGGGTAAATTGGCTTTTGAGTGTGCTTTCATTACTTTGAACTGGGGCTTTGGTTGGCAATCATTGTGGTGTGTACACAATCTTTCATGGAATCTAAGTATATATATATATATATATGTGTGTGTGTGTGTGTGTGTGTATATGTATGAATGTATTTGTATGTAATATATAAATATGTGTATATTGAACTTGGCTTTTATGACACTGGTGTGTGGAGTGATCCGCTACTTCCTTATAAGTTTGAATACTCAGATGCCTTTGGAAGATTCCTGCTCTTCCAGATCAAGGCAATCTTCATCACACTTTTCTTGCTGGGACTGGAAAAACCCCAAGATCTCACAGATTTATTTAAAAAACAAAATAAAACAAAAACAAAAACAAAAATATTCATCGGTGACAGTTGATTCCAAGCCATGAATACCCTGCAAATGCCATTGGATGTGAGATTCCACAACCCCACTTTTATTGCAAGTTTGCAGAGGATGAGTCCAGAAAAATGAAACACCCACAAACTTCATCCTTTTTGAATCCACGTGGACACATAAAGATTAATGGATGAAGAACATTCGAATGCACGTGTAAATATGACGACATGAGTGACATTGGAACAACGCCATTGTGAGGGCCAAATTTAGCCATTGGTTATGGAAAGCTGTGGCTCTGCTTCGTCCCCTAATTCGTTAACTAGCGATCATTTAGGGCCATGAAAACTATTACAAATTATATTTGTGTATGAATCTTTTAAAAATGGCCAGAAGATCAAAGATACCCAACAGTCTATCATAGTTCTAGGTCTAGATTCAGTGTATGTCTCCATGTCATGTATTTCCTTCTTTACTTTGTTAAACATAGGATTTTTTTTATTTTATTTTTATTGATTATTTTGAGAGATTTGACATGGCTTCTTGAATTTATGTATAAAGTACCTCGAGACTAATATTCCATGTACTGGACTAATAACAAATCTGGGAGATGGTAGTGAGTTTTAGTTTTGTGTTTTTTTAATGCTTTTGTGTTTAAGTTATCATTAGTAGAGGTCTCAATGTCAGTATTCACCATTAAAAAAACATTTCAAAAAATTAGTATACATTGATTTTTTTTGGATAGATGCTTAAAATAATCGGAAAAAAATGTAAAACGTTTTATTAAAACCAAAACTTGTATCGCTAGCTAAGGCGATGTATTGATTTAAATTTCAAATGTTATCTATACAGTAGACAAAGTATCTTGTTAATACTCAATGTAGAATTCTTGTGATTTTGGTGCACATTGTTGGATTCTCTAAGTTGAATACAATGTGTGACACTTATTGATTGCAACAACTGACCACCTAAACTTGAAACAAAGCAAGAAAGAAGTATTACGTGATACTAATCATTCTAGCAGAAACCAGTGCCATTGGGCACTACGATCTCTCGCACATCTGTCCATTTTCTCATTCATTCATGTTACTTTGTTCCCATGTTCCCCATGCTCCATTTCTACACTGCCAATCAAAAGACTTCTTTGTCTATTTGTGTTGTGCCCAAGTTGTCTTACAATATATATATATATATATATGTGTGTGTGTGTGTGTGTGTTTGTGTTTGTGTATGTATATTTTCACACATTCACCAAGAGAGTTATAGAACACGTAATACAATCCAGTTTATAGTGTTTTATTTGTTTGTGCGTTTGTTTTTTTGTGTTTGTTTGTTTGTTTGTTTGTTTCTTTTTTTCTTTTCCTCTTCACTTCAGATTAATAAATGATTGAATAATGATTTCTAGAACAACAAGGAATTTCGAAGCCATTGTGGAGAACTACCCAACCAACGGGATGACAGAACGTTTCAGGTGCTCATAATTGAGACAAGATGGAGTTCCTAGCGAGGTACAAAGACGTTGATCACACGTGGATGGATTTCTGGACGGGGTGACGAACGAACTCCTGGTACCTCGGAGGTCCTCCATCCACGTCAGCACCTCGATCCACGTGTGCCTCGATCCACGTCCCAACCCGTTAAAAGAGCCCCTTCCAAGGCAATAGAGGGAGGGAGGTCTACTTGGAGGCGCCACCTGTCATAGCCAATTATTATTATTTTCTTTCTGCTGCCCGTAATTAAATTATTGTTGGCTTTGGGGTTTGCTGGCCACTTTATACCTCTTACTCACCAAATTCCCCTCTTCCTCTTTCTTATTTATTTATTTTGAGTGAATATGTGAACTATCATAGTTTGTTGTTCAGAGTGCTCTTTAAAAGTATGTGAATAAATAAATAAATAAATAAATAAATAAATAAATAAGTGAGTTTTTTGTGAGAGTACGCGAGCAAGAGCGCGAGAGAGTGAGAGAGAGCAGTATAAACTACACTAAATCAGTGAATATTTCGAAACTTCAGTGAATGTAGGAGTGCCCAATTTGAGCACATTATTCAGATTGACAAAGCTTTTCAAGCGTACATGTTACTCTCTGACGTGTGGATGACTGTGTCTATAGAATAGAGTAGAGGTGAGGGTGTTAAGTAACGTGTGATACACATGGAAAAAACAGTTGGTGTTTGCTACAACTGGTCAAAAAGCACAGTGAGAAATCTTAGGCTCAGTCAGTCATTGTTAGATACGTCTTCAGACACCGGCAACAACTGGGTGTCCAGTGTAGAGTTTGGTGTCGGTATTGTCGGCAGCAGTTTCTTCTTCAAGTCAAACACCTCCATCTGAAATCATGCCACATCTAGTTGATCAAGTCCAAACTCAAAAGCCCATGGAGCAGAAAAGGATTTATTGTGTGGAGTATGGTCACCTGGGGGTTGAAAGATCTTGTCCTTTCGGTGGCAAGAACCTCCCTAGTTGACTGCAACTCGTGCAGATCAAACAAAGTATACTTCACGTCAAATGATAGACGGATTGTTGCGTACGCTCAAGTGCTTGCAGTTTTTCGAAGTGCATAATAATATTGAAGCCTAATCTGCATATGGCGTTCATATACATTTTGCGTGTCCTCGAGGACAGCCTTGAGAAAAGCGAAATCGTGTTCCAGTCTTAGATTCCCTGAATGGACCACATTGCACAGATTGTTGGAGTCTTCTTGCGCTCTTTCAGCAACAGCCACTCTCTCTTTTTCTATTTGTGCCTTGAGAGAAGCTGCGAACTTTCCTTCAGCATGTTGCTTGGTTTTCAAAGCCGACTACAGGTTTTTTGCTGCTTCCTCTTTACCTTTGAGTGCATTGGTAAGTTGTTTTACAAAGGTTTGTTTGCTTTGGTGAGCGGGCTACCTCACATGGGAAAAATTGTGCTAGAGTAGTATGGAGGAGGAGATGTCAGCCGTCAGAGAGAACTTCTGGACAATCAAAATGAAGGTAAGGAACAGATGAAGCGAGTCGTTACTCTGGACGTTTCACAGAAAGCTATCCATTTGCTTTTCAAAAACAGCAATTAATTGGCCAGAGTTTTGTCGTGGTTGTCTCTTTTTGTACTTGTGAATTAGAACACGTTCAAACTATTCAATTTCCACTCCACGTTTCTCAAGTTTCAGATTCACAAATTTGCATCTTCTTGATTGTCTAAACAGATTTCACATTTCCTCCACTTTGTTCATAACTACATGCTTATCAGACTGTGCAGTCAACAGAAAGGATACGTAATTTGCATGGCTGCATACAAAAGAGCAGGTGCTTGAGATTCAAATCTAAATCCTGGCTAGCAGACCTACACGTCTTAGCTACCTCATGTTACGTCAAAATAGCTGAATAAATGTTACCAGGGACCAGTTATCGGTTAGAGATAGAAATTTCTTATCATGTTGACACCGACATAGAAAGCAACTCACAATTGTTACAGCTTGAGGATTGTCTGAACGCAAAATTGATTAGTTGGTACATATCATAGGTAAGTTTGCATCAGACTAAGACTGACCCAGAATATTTCTAAGTGTTTTTAAAGGTGAGCATATACAAATTCCTACCAACCCTAGTAGACAGTAGATCCATTGTTGTGAAGTGATTCACTTCCTCATGCTTCCTTGCACGGGGTTGATGTCCTTGTTAGGGTATCTTCTCATGGCAGGAAGGAGAGATTCAAGGGTCTCAAAATGTGAAAGATACACGATTCTTCATTTTCTCTTACCGGATTTTTTCCTTCTCCGTTCTTCCTCCTCTTCTCGAGCTTTTTGCCGACCAGCTTTAAATCCCGCCACAGCAGCTGGAGTAAATGCCCTAAGATTGGGCGGCAGTTGAATAAGATCAGCAGGGTCGACTTCGTCTTCCTTTGCCGTGCTTGGTTTATCATCTTGCCCATATTCTTCGAAGTTATCGTCACTATTTTGGCTGGCGTTTCTGAAGACTGTCTCCTTGAAGATCCACGTGGGAGCCAAATAATTCCCCACCCAGAACAGAAAGATCAAAGCCATGCTGCTCACAAAAAAAGTACCCACATCAATTGCTGGTCATGAATTTTAGCAATTTGAGACTTTAAATACATGCTGGAAAGCTCAACTGGTTGAACAGCTAGCGAAATTTCATTGACTTGATGGCTGTACGAAAACTGCGTAACTGAAATTGTACGATTCATTTCCAGGAAAACAAGCTGAGAAAAACATCTAACCTGACGAGAAAGAAGACCACAACGTCGTCGCCCTGCGTGGGGGAATATGGTGACGGCGCAACGGACTCTTCTAAAGGGGCTAACGCTTTTCTCGCATACTGCAATTTCTTGTCCCACCTGTACCGAACAAAACCCACCGGGTCCTCCAAGAGAGTCACCTCTTTCGTCGAGCCCTCCGCGAAGACACTCCCCACTGCCGGTGCTGCTTCATTGAGCGCCACATTCGTTTGAGTATCCTTGAGCTGCGGTGCTGTCATTTGAAAACCCGTGGTGGAAACCTCTACTACCCCTGGTGAAGGATAAGGTTCCCACTGGTCACCAACTAATTCAGCGCTCACCACATTTGTTGACAACGCATGCTGGGTGCGTGCCAGGCGATGATTCCTTAACACATTTGAAAAACAAGAGCCTCCACAATCACGCCTAAACCCTGAAGAAAAGGGTAGAATTCTGCAAGGGTTGAAGCTCAAGCTTCGACTAACTAACGACATGGCTATAACCCACCTCCTCCCACTATCTGCTAAAGAGATACAGCTTGTAGCTATGGAAACACAGCTTCTGAGTTCATCTACAATCTATCATGACTACCAAGAATTCAAGCCCCTAAATCCGGCTCCCATACAATTGCAAAATGCAGCACATGTGCAATTAAATTTCAATGCCCTCTGAGCTCTCCTACAATCCATGCAAGTGCTTGTCCCCCAGTGCTTACAGAGCTCAACCTAGAACTTCATTCGAGAGCAAATTTGTGCAGCTGCTTGGGTGCCCGCTCAGTCACTACGGGAACCCATATGAGCAACCCTGTTTTTTCTGGACCGCCGATGCTGTCCTCTGTTCCCGTGGATGAGGCATTAGTGGCGATGGGACTTTTGCTTTATACGTCATCACGGATGAACTGTTGCTTTGCGAAGTGGATTGGACGGTGATGAGTGGCATCATCAGAATGCTCAGGCGCCTTATTGCCCTCTCATGTACACTGGAGTAGTGATGGGATGCGATACAGAATTTCTCCTGTGTGTAGACTATTTCGGATCTTGTATGTGTGTGTGTGTGTGTGTTTGTTGAAGAAAATTTGGACTTAGAGGAACTGCGTGTGGGAGGTGTTCAGTGATTGGGTGGTTCATGGCCATGGCTATAGCGGTAGTGATGCAGCCCACTGTCCTGTGCGGACTATGTGTGATGGGGGGCCTTGTCCTCTTCGTTGCCTGTTTTGTCCCCTCTCTCTCTTCCTTGATCCCTAAGCATTGCCAAGAAAGTGGAACGATCTAACTTGTCTGCCTCTTTTACTTTATATCTCAGGACTATGCTCTACCCAGTGTTGCAGGCTATGGCACACGGAATTTTCCAGTTCTCAGCAAGAAACCGAAAGGTTATCAGTGTAGGTGTACAGAGCTTAGAGCAGGCCGGCGAAGCAATTGTGCACCCATAGTCATATCAGAGTCTCGACTGTACCCTTAGTAAATTCTTACTACGTATTCACTTCGAGAATTGCAATACATCTGAGGTTCGGTTGTGCCGTGGTACCGGTGGTTGAACCTTCCATCTCTCCCTCTGAGGTTGCTAGTTTCCATCCCATGAATCCGAGTATTCCAGGTTAAAGTGGGACCTCTGCCAGTTTCACGGATAGGGCTAGGCATCTGGTTTCCCTTCTTTAGGGATTGGAAGAAGATATGGATGCGGAGTTGCGGGAAGTTCTTACAGTTACAGACAACAAGAGCATCAGTCTTTCCAATACTACTGTTTCTTACCAAGCTAGAAATCTGACTCATCGAAGCGAATTTCTGCTCAAAAAACTTATCCACAGGTATCCAGGTTTGTCGAGAATTCCTTAAACAAGAACAGAATGGACGCAGAATGCCAGAGATCACAGTTAAGCATGCACATCAGGTGGGTCTATTTAGTATAAATATCTTATGAGCCGATTCAATGACTTCAATACTATCTTTATTTTCTGTTCTTTTCTTTTCTATATGAAATTATGGCTTGGAAGGCGTAGTAGACCAAGAGCAAGTTGTGGAGAATGTGCACATTGCTATCGAGTTCCCAGCATATCCACTCATGGCAATTGTGGGTCCCTACCAGTATGCTGATCTCATTTTTATTGTATTTCTCTTGAAAACTGGTGAGTTACTGCAGACAGACAAATTAATTCATTGTAAACAACTCACTCTGAGCTTGACTTATTACTGAACACACTGAAGCCGACTGCAAGGAGAGCTCAGATTTGCTCAGGTAGAACTACAATCCTGCGTCTGTTTTAATGCCTTAAAACAACTATTTTCAGCAACAATTATCATATTACAACAATCATCTTGTTCTTTTCTTAACCACATTTGTTATTGTTAACCTAGATTGGATGAACAACCCGTTAACTATATTCATTTACAAGCTCTTTTGTCAAGATTACCATAAAAAGGAATCTCTGGTCAACAAATATTTTACCGAAGATTTTTTTAAGATGTATTTTTTTAAGATGTATTTTTTTAAAATGTTAATTGCCGTGTTTGAACCTTTCTTCTACAAAAATTCATATGCGAACTTCATACATTAATCTAACCTAGATGTTTACCATGACAACTGTTTTTTTTATGAAGGAAAATTTCTCACAGCTCTTTAATAAAACATGAAAGAATGTTTGGATTAAACTTGCTATTCAAAAACTTCCCTTAATGTATGTATCAAAGGAGGCGTTCTTACCCATTTGTTGAAAAGGAGACTAGAATTAAAACTAGGAAATAAAACGTGGAGACTAGGAGACTAGAGATAAAACGTATAAACATTTTAACCATCGGTTTGTGCGAGTTGTAAACTTTAGAGTTTAATAGTTATATTATTAAAAATAAGTACAAATTGCAAACTAATGTACTTGGTATAGTAAAACATTTGATAAATGATTCTTTATTATGATATGATCATACCTTGGAAGTTTTGTAAACAATAATAAACAAAAAAACCAAGTTGTAGAGAAGATTGCAATCATTCATTGTATCAATTCGTTGTAATGTATTATTAAATGTATCTCATTGATGGCTAATAGTTGATTTAAACAAATGTATGTAATCAGATTTATGTATTTTTTGTTTATAATTTATATACTCCATTATAATGTTACAGAGTTCATTATCAGAGTTAGAGATGATGTCACAAACACCAAAATTGGGATTAATTTAGAACCATACATTTTTTCCACATTCTTTCGGAATCTTTTAGCATATCCAATACTACTTTCGAAAACAAATTGTGTAAAAAATTGAGATGACATGATCTACAAGAAAGTGCAGTGAAAAACAAACTTAGTTTTCTCACACAAAATATATAATTCTCAAGCAACGAAACTGCTTCAAAGCACACTTGATAAAGTTCAACACACTGAATTACTACACCATCAAAAAAAAAAAAAAAAAAAAAAAAAAAACCTATCAAATTATTCACATCAAAGAGTACATTTTGTACCCATTACCACATAAAAGTAAAAATACTAATTCTATTATTATTATTATTATCATCAACACCGTGACAACAACATGAGCATTACCACCAAGCCAAGTGTAAGAAGCTGCCATAACATGTAGTAACTAGTGGAGGGAGTGGTTTGTTACTACTCCAATTCGGCAACAACAACTCCAAGAGCACGGAGCTCACTGATGCAGCGTCGTGGCGAGAGGAACGCGACCGATTTGGGGATAGATAGACCATGCAAACGGGGAATCCCTGAGGGCCAGTGTGAACCGTGGAGCAGGGACCTGATCTGTGCGCAATCCGGCCGCGCACCGCCCTCCCCAATGGCTATCGCCCACGCGGCCGCTCTCTCACTTCTGATATTGCCCCTGATACTATAAACCCACGCTCTGGCCTCTGCTTCCTCCACAAACTCGTTGCTTTCATCTGCAGGCTTTTGAAATCTCTCACATTGCTTTACTATTAAATTTTTTGGTTTTCTGATCTAGAGAACGCTAGGTCGTTCAACCAGTCACCATGGCCGCCGCTACCGCCATGCACTCCACCACCTTGGCTGGACAGAGCCTGTTCAGGTTCAATGAGCTCTCCAGCAAGGTGGGTTCCAGCCAGGCCCGCGTCTCCATGAGGAAGACTGTGAGCAAGTCCTCTGGCAGCGACAGCATCTGGTAGGTTTCTTAGATCCCGGTGCTCAATTCTGCCTTATTGGGTTCTGTCTCGTGGGCCCTCATTGTATGACTTAGAAACGCAGTGCTGGTTCTTATCATTTTTCGGCCTTGTGTCCTTAATGTCGTAACACGGGATGATTGTGTCGGCATCGTAGTCATTCTGTGTAGATGTATAATCCTTGAAAATGTGAGCATTGCCCTGAGGCTGTTCCACTATCTTGGCATTGCAGGTATGGCGCTGACCGACCTAAGTGGTTGGGCCCATTCTCTGGTGAGACCCCATCATACCTCAACGGTGAGTTCGCTGGTGACTACGGCTGGGACACCGCCGGACTCTCCTCCGACCCCGAGACCTTCGCCAGGAACAGGGAGCTAGAGGTCATCCACGCCCGGTGGGCTATGCTTGGAGCTTTGGGATGCCTCACCCCTGAGCTTTTGGCCAAGAGCGGTGTGAAGTTTGGCGAAGCCGTGTGGTTCAAGGCCGGTGCTCAGATCTTCAGCGAGGGAGGTTTGGACTACTTGGGCAACCCCAGCTTGGTGCACGCTCAGAGCATTCTAGCTATCTGGGCAAGCCAGGTTATCCTTATGGGAGCCGTCGAGGGATACCGTGTTGCCGGTGGACCCTTGGGTGATGTGACTGACCCCATCTACCCCGGAGGCTCGTTCGACCCCTTGGGTTTGGCTGACGACCCCGACACCTTCGCTGAGTTGAAGGTGAAGGAAATCAAGAACGGACGTCTGGCTATGTTCTCCATGTTCGGATTCTTCGTCCAAGCCATTGTTACTGGAAAGGGACCCCTTGAGAACTTGAATGACCACCTTGCGGACCCCGTTGCTAACAACGCTTGGGCCTATGCTACCAACTTCACCCCCGGAAACTAGAGTGAATCTGACGAAACGACTGGCAGCGGCTTCTATGTTGACGCTGTTGCAGAGGGACTAGTGAAGGGTCGGTGCTCGACACACTCCTCTATCATAGCTGCAAGTGAGGAGAATGTAGACACCTAGGAATCTGCTTGTCAGTTACTCTTTGCCCTTATGTCTTCTGTGGGATGCACGATTACCCAATTGATGTGCGTGTCCGCAGTGTAAATATATATGAACAAAAACTTTTGATATTTCTGCTTTGCAACTAGCAACTCATCTCATGTGGAAAACCAAATTGGATTGTCAATTCCCATCTAGAAATATCCTTTCAACCAGAACTCACTTTCACCTCCTGTAATGACTAGAAACAAGAAGCCTGAGAAACCGGGACAGAACACCCATCAATATCACAAGATGTAACAGCTTTATTTAATTAGATATAACATCGAAATGGAATGTTAATAAAATCTGTGAACAACAAATAAAAAACATAGTGCATAAACTGTCATACTGTTTGTCGACCTGAGCGACGCCTATACCAACGCAATTGCACGATGGGTGTACAACATCTGCGACCATACCATGTGTATAATGAAAGTGTATTTCAACTGTGAGTCAATACCAACGATTACAATGACGGGAAAAATTCTTCACCGATTATTATCAAAGACATTGGAAAAGAACATTGTCCAGACTTCATCTTGTAGATATATTGTTGTCTAATTGGCCAACACAAACCATAATTGATACAAAAAAGCATTGCAGTTCAGATTACTAACATAAAATATTTTGTAATAATCTATAATCAATTTTCTTCTGCTTCCATCTATTTGTCTGTCGGCCTTAAACCTTGCCAAAATGTAATCAATAAAACAAATCGTTTACTTCCTCTCCATGAGATTTTAGCCATGTAAAATCAAATAACTACTATGTAAAGCCTATGATAGAATATAGGAGTGGAAAATAGTTGAGAATAGTCATGTGATGATGTAACCAACACTAGAGCACTCCATGCATTTTACGAGAACATGGACACAGAAGAAAAAAAACCAGCACACATGGTTGCTGCAGAATCGGAAAGAGAAACATAACCAATCTAAAAGGTAGATGTACAATCCAAATTATTTTTTCAATGTATTAACAAAAACTTTAACCTATTGATTCTGCTTTTACATAAACAATGCCACCTTGTTGCGACTGATGCAACTCACCCATGAAAAGGCAACCGACAAGTAGCTTCCTTCCCTTCATGTTGAAAGAGTGCACAACTGGCAAGTCGGAAAACTTCCGTAATTTACTCTTAGGCTACCGTACCTACGACGTTCTATTTCGTCTGTCTTCCGTAACCCAGAACCTTCCAAATTCTTAACTCGAAGCACCATTCAACCTTCTTCACCAAATTCTTTGGTGAATTTCTCTTGAATAATAAGGTCGCCTTTGCTGACAGTGGGCCTCTGCTTTGCGAGGACTTTGTCGAAATCTGATTTTGTGATTGGAGGTGGTAAAATCTGTTCTCGATTCAGAAGTTCGACTTTAGTATGTAAACTTCATTCAAAGTAGCAGGAAAAGCCATTTCACATACAACAGGACAGAAACTGCTCGAGTGACATCCTCTTCTTGATTATGCCATGACCAGATCCAAGCAACAATAAATTGGCCATATCGTTTTTCTCGACTTCCTGAAGGAAAGGGAACACAAGAAATGAATAGAATAAATCACGTCTAGCGAGAATTCGTACCTTCGATGCCTGCCCTTCAGCGGCAAGCTCCGTCATAGTGGTTTGCCTAGCACCTGGTTCTCGGGGCCCACAAGGCATCCACATCTCTCCTTCTTTGGTATTAATTCTTTTGAAATGCATAGCATCTTGGGTCTTACGAACAGGCTCAAATAGTACATCTTTCACCTGTTCACAAAAAGAAACAATCATATTGAAAGTTGGTAAAAAAGAAAACGTTTCAATAAGAAACTCGGAAAAAACTCATTATCAGCACTCTAAACATCTATCGCGACGAAGTACCGAGTTGATCAACAGCACCTAATCTAATGGTATGAAACTGTAATATCTTAATCTCCCTCTGACTGATACTCATACCGAACAGTTTCTACTGTGTTATCTTCGTGTAAAACACTTCATGTTTCTGAGAGCCGATGATGATAGTGATGTGATTAAAGAGACAGGTAACAACTTACACAAACTGCAATATCCGAGCCTGAAAACCCATCAGTCTTCCTAGCCAGATCCTCATAATCACGTTCAGTCAGGTTGTTTGGCGTATCTCCCAAATGCACCTACAAAACAATAACGAGAGATATTTCTACAATAGCAGGAAGAGATTAAGTAATGAAATGCGAGGAGGCTAACATCCTTGTACAACAACCTGCTTCAAGACATAAATCAAACACAATAACTAATACGGCATTTTCATGGAAAAGCACAATCGTTCGCTCCTGAACCTGAGTCAAGAATTGAGCGATACACATACCTTAAACATGTGCTGCCGAGCCTTAGACTCCGGTAGTGGGATGTAGATACGCTTGTCGAAACGTCGCCTCACCGCCTGCAATTCAAAGCAAACCTCTTGAAAAGCATCATTTAAAATAAAGTTTGAAAAAGTAGTTTGAACTTTAAAATAAAACAAAATAAAATAAAATAGAATCACTTAAATAAGATAAACACGCACTTCACTGCCATATCAATGAAGCAACCTCACCTGATCCAAAGAGTAGGGCGTATTTGTAGCAGCTAACACAAGAACCTTAGTGTCTTGATTGCCGACACCCTGAAACAGACACCAAGACAAGCGTTACATACCTCCATCTCAAGACTGTAAACTCACACATCACAGCCAAATCACTCAAATCAACACATCGATATTGATTCTTCAATAACGTTGTAATCCATAACTAAGCTGAACAATAACGTTGTATCCACGGTGCTGATGGTCCATTTCAAAAAAAGACGAAAAAATTTAAACCACATAAATTGTTCATGACAGTTGCATTTAGACTGAAAGGAACAATCTGACCTGCATTTGAACTAGCAACTCAGTCTTGATACGACGTGAAGCCTCGCTCTCATTTCCTTCACCTCGAGTACCGCATAAAGAATCAATCTCGTCTATGAAGATGATGGATGGAGCAGCTTCACGGGCCATTTGAAACAGATTTGCAACAAGCTTCTCACTCTCTCCCATCCACTTTGACACCAAGTCTGAAGAGGAAATACTGCAGAGGAAAGTAATAATCAGTCCCAGAACCACCAGTCCAAGTATACTAAAGGTTTAACAACCTCATTTCTCGCTCGTCCCGGAGAATTCTTCATTTAGCCAAAGTTGGTAATACAAGATGATCGTGTCCAAATTATGCTTCGACAGTTACCTAAAGAATGTAGAATCAGCTTCCGTAGCAACAGCTTTTGCAAGATACGATTTTCCAGTCCCGGGGGGCCCATACAACAAAAATGCTCGCCATGGTCTTCGCTTCCCTGCATTTCAATATTAGAAGTCATCTTGTTAAGACATACATTAACGTTCACAACTCGCTGGTTCGATTTCGAAATTGACCTGTTCAGACTTCTAGGTTTTCCAGCGTGTGCACATACACCCGTTCGAACCGAAATGCACCAAAAAGCCAAAATGAACCCAAAATCTGACAACACCTGACCACTCCCAATTAAACATTCATCTGTTTCTCTAAATACTGCGAAGAAAAAGTGACGAGGCAATTCGAATTGACACATATGAGTTCCTTCCAACAATCATAGATGAGCAGAAGGAACAAGTCCATTAACCTCTCCAGAACCACTCCCAGTATCATAACGGTCAAACCGCAGAGAGCTCTTCTTCCAAACCTGTGAAAAATTGGGGAAACTTCACGGGCAAGATCACTGCCTCCTGCAACGCCTGCTTGGCACTTTCAAGTCCAGCAACATCAGCCCACCGAACATTTGGCTTTTCCCGTATGATTGCCGAGTTCAGCCCTGATCTCAGCTTCTGCTGCTCGGGATCCTCGCTGTCACCATCACCATCACCCCCGCCACCATCCTTCTTCCCTGATTTCGACTTCGGTTTAGCTTGAACTGCCGCGTCTCCATTTGCAGAGGGTCCAGTGGGGCCATCGTCCAAAACGGCTCGAATCTCCTCCGCCCTCCTCAAATACTCCGTGAACTTCTGAGTGATGGCCTCCTTGATTTTGGGATTCTTCTCATACTTTAGATGCGTCTTGAAGTACTCAAGCGCGTTCATGTACAGCGGAAACGCTTTGGCATAGTTCCCTGCGTTGTCTTCCGCTACGGCTTGACGCACATATTCTATGGCCTGCTCTTTGAAGTTGCTGTACATGGCTATCCCCTTCTCTACACACCTTGGGTCAAACAATCCTACCTCCCTTGTCAACTACGAGCATGCTGAAGATCACCAACTCCCGCTATCACGCAGAAACCAACCAATCTAGGGATCAAAATCTCCTCACCCCTGATCACAACCTCCCACACAAGAATCCCACTGCACGTCCACAATTACACCTCCACCGCCACTTCACCACCCTCGCAACAAGCCAACCCTGTCTTCCCACACCGACAGCGCACCCCGAAACCCTAGCTTGTCCAAAAAGCACCCCTGTCCCCTCCGATGCACAATCCCAAAATCCCAACGCAACCCAAAACTCACAAACCTCTCCAAACCGCCTCCGAACGAATGCTACCGTGCGAGTGATCCAATGAAATCCCGGAAGAGCTGAGGATACTCTCCAAGAATACAAAGCACGCTAAGGGTTCGGTCAAACCGTAGCGGAAGATTGGAGAATCGAGGGGACAAGAGGCAAAGCATTAATTTCCGAAGAAGGGATGTAGACGGGGCGATTACGGCAGAATAACGGAGACGAGAGGGACGGGGAAGGAAGACATCAGGGAGGGAGGGAGGGAAGGGCGAGGAGAGTGATCGGAGTCAAGAGCAGTGCAGTGCAGTGCAGTGATTCAGTGAGCTGAGTTGCAGAGAGACGCGGCTAAGGCGGGCGGAACCACGGAGAAGCAGCAGCAGCGGCACTGCGATTCTACCGCCAGCGTTGATTGCCCCGACCTGGCCTTCCGTTCCAGATCGCTCCAGGTATATGATGATTCCTCTGGGTGTCAATCTGTATACACCCGGTGGCGTAACCTAGTATCAATGTGAAAAATCTGGGTGTGTTCAGGAGGATTCGACTCGGTCAACGTGATGAACGTATGGTGGATGATAAAGTGTAGTACTCTGTAGCTTGCACGGGATTAGGCACCGCTTTTGACCGGAGTTCCTGTTTGCCAGAAATTTTGTTAATCTTGATGATTTGGTAGATTGAAATTGGTAGATTGGATTTGGATATCGTTCTCTGCAAATTTTGATAATTTTCATCAATGTTACTGCATTTCATTAAATTATTTTTGAAATATTTAATTAATTTTGTGACCTGATGCCTGGTATTAATTAATTCCATCTTATTGAAAAAAAATTATAAAAAAAATCCAAATAAATATGTATATGTATATATATATATATATATAGAACAATACTGGTGAGTAAGTATCTTGGGGCAAAAAAAAAACATCTTCATGTTCCTATCATCTTAAAATTATTTATATACATGATGGCAATGGATAGGTAGACATGCTTTACACTATATAATAAAAATTATTACATCACAACTTTTACAAAATAAATTAGTTTTTAATATTTTAAAATGATATATGTTTATATTATAGTGTTGAAAGATGTCAAAGTGTATAAAGCTTGAATAATGAGTATTTTTTTCTCTATTTTATGATAATTTAAAAAAAAATGAAAATCTTGATATTTTGCTTGAACATATTTTAACATGTCTACAAAACTTACTTTTTTAATCCAAAAACTTAATAACAATCAAACATATTTTTTTGATATTTATGAAAAATATAGATGTTTAATTAAACATCTACATAATGGATTAATGCAATATAAACACATTGCATGTTGATAGATAACAAAACAAATATATATATATATATATATATATATATATATATAATAAATTAGATCTAGGTTAGTTAATAAAAAATATAAATGAAAGTTTTTAGTCATTTTAAAATTTATAATACTTGTCTCAAAACTCTCTTTAAAATTATCATACTTATATATATATATATATATATATATATATATATAATTAATAAATAATAATAAAATATCAAAATTTATACTAGCATATAAAAAAGATTAAAAATAAATTATATAAATACTTTTTAGATTTTTAAATTATAAAACTATACATTAAATTTGAGCACTTGATTTTAATTTTAATTTTTTTGAATTTTTACAACCTTAATATAGTTATAGTAAAAAAATAAAATACATATTATTTATATTAAGGATATGAATTTCAAAGAAAGAAAATTCAATATACTCTTGTATCATTTGAAAAGACTAGAAAGTCATTTAAAGATGGCAATACATTAAATTAGAATGGCTATTGCTAAAGACAAAAAGAGTAGAAAGTCTTGAATAAGTCTAATGACTAGAAAGATGTTGATAAGAGTAAAGAAAGCTTCACTCTTGCTTCTATGTATACTATCTAACTAGGAGCTATGTGATAATATTCTATAGGACCTCAAATACAAGTTGACTTTGTAAGACATATATCTTAACTTACAAGGCAAGTTTTTTATATGTGTACTATATAATTAGCTTATTGTATAAGTTATCAACATGTATGATACATAATTAACTTGCTGGCCAAGTTTCTAACCTACCAATCACCTATAAACATATGTAAAGTCAAAATCACATCTATAAAGCTTTTAGAAAGCCTTTCTAAAAGACATTACAAAATTAATCTACTTTTATCTACTTTTACCTATTTTTACCTAATTATATATGTAATTATTGGAATAAATATATATATCCATGACATTACTCCTTCTTCTTGTCAAAGACTTGAATCTTGAAAAAAAAATCTTAATATTCTCTTTTGTCACTCAATAGAACTAGAAAATCACTCAAAGATGATATGGTATTAAATTAGAATGACTATTGCCAAAGACAAGAAGACTGAAAAGTCTTAAAACAAGATTAAAGACTAAAATGGGGTTGACAAGAATGAAAAAAGCTTCGCTCTTGCCTCCATATATATTCTTAATTAGGAGCTACATAGAAATATCCTATAAGATCTCCAAAATGTATTGAATTTATAAGACATATATCTTAACTTGCAAAGCAGTTTTCTACATGTATGTCACATAATTAGCTTATTTTGCAAGTTATCAATATGTGGTTAACTTGTTGATCAAATTTCTAATCTACCAATCAATTACAAACAAATATAAAGTCAAAGCTATGTATATGAAGCTTCTAGAAAGCTATTCTAAAAAATATTATGAAATAAATCTACTTTTATCTACTTCTACTTAATTATATAGATAAATATTAGAATAAATATGTATGTCTGTGATACTTCTAGAAATGAATTCTATGAAGAGCTGCCATCATCTTTCATGGATCTTATTTTTCTTCATCTTTATTTTGATGAATGTTAATAATAAAAAGCCTCAATCTTCTTTAATGTATTTACAAGATTCTTTGCTAGCTTCCATGTGCATTCAATAATATCATATCCGTGCTAATGAACAAGATATTCTAATCTAATTTAGTGTCACCTTTGAATCTAAGTCTACTTCTACTTCAAACTTTTAATTATTATTCACTTTTATAGGAAGAGGTGGTATTTGTCTTCTTTTTAAGATATTCATTATCTTATATGGCTCAAGAAGAGATACATGGAATATGAGATGGATCTTCATAAATCTTGATAGATGTAATTAATAAGCAATATAATTGATTTATTCACAAATAGAAAAAGGTCCAAGTCTACAATAGTTTAACTTGTCATAAGAACAAATAGTCCATATTATATCACCTATGTTAAATTATGGTTATTTTTTGTGATAGATATCTATATTGATCTTTTGTTGTTTTTGAGTTTTTGAGTTTTTGAGTTTTTTTTTTTTTTTTTTTTTTTTTTTAATTATGACTTTATTATTGTATGTAGCTCTGATGAATAATTTTCTTAATCTTTTCTTGCAAGATTATTAATTTTTAAAAAGTCAAAAATATTAAGTCATAGATGATAATCATAATTAACAAAGAAAGATGTCTGTTAAATAGAAGAATGTATTGAATCGTTGTATGCAAACTCTACCAATGGCAAAAGAATTATCAAATCATTTTGATGATAATTGATGATACACCTCAAATACTACTCGAAAACTTCATTCATCTATTCCATTTGTCCATCAGTTTGACAATGAAAGGCCAAAGATAGTTTATATCTACCTTCAATATATTAAAAAGAATTCTTCAAAATCTTAATATAAATTTTGTTTCTCTATTCGATATAATATTCTTTAGAAATCTATAATAGTAATAGATATTATCAAAGAAAAAACTTAGTTATTTATTTTCTTGAAATAAAATTTATAAATGGTAAAAAATGTACCTTTTTAGTGAAGCTATCTAGAATCACAAATATAAAATTATATAAACTTAAACTTAAAAGATCCATAATAAAATCCATAGAAATAAAAGACCATGATTAATTTGATATAGACAATCATTAGAAAAGTCTATAGGATCAATGACAAGGAATTTTTAATCTTAAACAAATGTCACATAATTATATAAAGGCTTTTCATAGCCTTTCATATTTGCAGCCACTAAAAATCTATAGAAATATGCTCCAAAGTCTTTTTATATCCATAATATCTTATTGCTAAAAAATTACGATGATTTTAAAGAATATCTAAACGTATTTTTTTTTGGAACATATAGGCAACCTTCCAAATAAAGTATATTGTCCTTGAATTTAAACTTAGAAGTATCATAAGATTTAGAAGAAGTATTTTTAATATTATTAATAAAATAATCAAATAACATATTTGATTGAACTTACTTGACAAAGCTTAAATTAAAAATTAATGTTGATTTTATTACTCAAAGATGAAATTGCTCAAGCTCCAAATTGATCATTCTTTATTGATCAAAAACTGCATCTCTTTCTTTTGTTATAAGATAATCACGTCTAGAAAGTACATCTAAAAAATCTTGTTATTTTTGAGGTTAATATGTAATCTTAAAAAAAAATCTTTATAATAACATACTTCAAAGAGCCTTCCAATGATTCAACATCTATGCTTACATGAAGTATTTAAGGTTCTTCTAATTTATATACACAATGACTACATTAGAAGTTCCTTCTATATAATGGCATTATTTATAAAAAGAAACAATAATTGCAAAAAATTCTTCATTGTAGATTTTATAGTTGATCTCTACTGCTAAAAATTTCTTGAAATGAAAAGCTACATGATGGAATTTGTAATCTATTTCTATTTGAAATAATATTGCATCTAATGTAAAGTTTGATATATTTCTTGTTATAAAAAATTCTTTAGAAAAGTTGATGCAATATAAGATTGGTGCAAAAATAAATTATTTTTTTAAAATATCAAATAATACTTTTGCTTTTTTATTCCACTCAAGTTTTTTTTTACAAGTCAAATGTATAAGTAAGGCTACAACTTTAAAAATGTTATTAATAAAGATTTGGTAGTAATTAAAAAAGTCCAAAAAATATTGTACATTTTTAATTATTCTAAAAATCTATCAATCTATGATAGTCTAGACCTTTTTTAAATCCATCATTAGGCCTATGTTGGAAATGATGTATCCTAAGAAGTCAATTTGATTAGTGTGGAATAAATACTTTTCTATCTTCACATACAATCCTAGATCTTTAAGTTTTTGTAACAGACAACAAACATAAAGTTTATATTTTTTTTATGTTCTTAGAATATATTAGAATGTCATATAAATAGTAGAAAATAAAATCATCAAGAAACTCACAAAAAATATCATTTATAAGAATTAAAAAGTAGTTGGTGAGTTTGTGAGTCCAAAAAGCATACCATTACATTCAAAATATCTATATCTAGTTTAAAATTAGTCTTCCATTCATCTCGTTCTTTGATACAGATCAAGTTGAATGCT